TTAAGTATAGAATCTTGGAAATTTAAAGGAAAATTATCCTGAATCTGGGTAACAGAGTCAGATGGGGTAAGTGAATTCTGGGTAACAGAACTCGATAAAATTTTATCCTGACCTTGGGTAACAAGTGCAGATGGGGTAAGTGAATTCTGGGTAACAGAACTCGATAAAATTTTATCCTGACCTTGGGTAACAAGTGCAGATGGGGTAAGTGAATTCTGGGTAACAGAACTCGATAAAATTTTATCCTGACCTTGGGTAACAAAGTCAGAAGGGGTAAGTTTATCCTGACTCTGGGTAACAGAGGCAGGTAAGGAAAATAAGTTCTGGGTAACAGAACTCGGGGAAATTTTATCCTGATTCTGGGTAACAGAATCAGGTAAAGGGAATGAATTCTGGGTAACAGAATTCTGTAAAATTTTATTCTGACTCTGGGTAACAGAGGCAGGTAAGGAAAATAAGTTCTGGGTAACAGAACTCGGGGAAATTTTATCCTGATTCTGGGTAACAGAATCAGGTAAAGGGAATGAATTCTGGGTAACAGAATTCTGTAAAATTTTATTCTGACTCTGGGCAACAGAATCAGGTAAGAGAGGTGAATTCTGGCTAACAGAACTCGTTAAAACTTTACCTTGACTCTGGGTAACAGAGGCAAGTAAAGTAAGTGAAGCTGGTTTAATTAGGTTGGAAGTTCCTTGGTCCAAGCTTACAAGTTTTTTGAAGTAGTAAGTTTTGGTTTTTGCTGATCGTTACATTTCGGACACGTTTTAGCCGTTACACCAATTTCACCACAACGATAGCAGACGATTCGGGGCGACCGCTTGCAATCCTTCAAAACATGACCGTCCTCACGACATCTCACACAAAACTTAGTAGTAGGAGGTAATTTATTCAACGTCGCGCATTCTTTGAATGGTTTCGAGGTAAAAGTACTAGGTTTATATGCTAAATCAGCAGCAAGCATATTTTTATTTAAGGTAGCTTTATTTGGTTCGACAAATAAATCAGCACGCAATTTAGCATTTTCTAAAATACGACAATGGTTCTTCAATTCGGACCACGAATTTATGGACACCATCGCTAATTGTAATGAGTAAGAGGGTTTAATATTATACCTAACAATTTCTAACTGTTCCATCTCACTTAAAGGTTTACGAAGCCTACTAAAATAATTTTGCATAATACTGAAGTAATTTACAATACTTTCATTAGATCCCTGTGTACGAGCTTTTATTTCAGTTAATAATCTAAAATCATAGTCATACGGTAAATAATCTTCAAATAAAAGATGTTTTAATTCAGGCCATGAATTAACATTACACCTTATCCCACGATACCAAAACAATGCCTCTTCTGAAAAAATTTCAGAAGCGCTTTCAAATAATTTACTTTCGCTAATGCCTCTCGATAAACACAACTCTTCTATTCGCTGAACAAATGCAACAACACACGTTTTGCCATTAAATTTAAAATTTAAAGTATGGACTCCTTTACTAGAATTTGGTGGAATATAGTTAGGTTCCGTTGGTACTGGATCATAATTTGATTCATCGGGAGATCGTAAACTGCTCTTGAAATTGGATAATAAAGCATCAAATTTGTTGGTTATTTTATTTAAAGAAAGATCTAATTTAGATTTTAATGTTAAGTCATTTTCCTCAATAGGGTGAACTCTAGTTAAGCGATGAAACAAATGGTTACCTAAAGCATTTATTCTATTTAAAATTTTTAAAGTTAGGGGTTTAGAAGAAGATAATTCGTTTAATTCGTCAAGTTTATGGGAAATTAAATTTAATTCAAGTGAAAGGTCACCTTCATATAAGTCAATTTCATCCGAAGGGAATTCTTTAAATAAACCACGTAACTGAGTACGCAAACCAGCACAAGTGTCAACCGGTTTAGCATCACGTATGGTTACTTCATACAACAACTCATCTTTATGTAAAAGGTTAAGGTTAATAGGCCTTTCTTCCATAGTGAGAAAGTGGGTAAAAATTTCGTATGTAAGAATTCAAATGTAAAGATAATATTTAAATTTGTAGGTAAAATGTAGTTAGACCAGTAAGCGTGATCGACCAGTGCAATATTCAATTGCAAAGAAATATGTCCTTAAGTATACAGTTAGGTTTACAGTAGTAAATAGTGATACACAGTAGCACCTTAATATAACATTAGAAAATAATGTTGGTAAGATAAAACATCAAGTAACAGTAAGATTTTAACAATTCACAATATGAATTGAAATTTTAAACAGTTAATTGTATCATTTTTATGAAATAGTATTTAAGTTTATTTAAAAACGAGTAAGTTAAATGCGTTATCGCCAACCTGTCTTGGTTTTGTAGAAACGAGGACAGGGAATACTAATATTCATGCAACCACGATCCTGGCAGGGTCGCCAAATTGTAACGTGAAAAACCGGGTAAGTGGGGTAAATAAAAATAAGGCTCCAATAATAACTACATTTATTGGTAACCTCCGTACTTTACATAAATAGGTTTAGGTAAATGACTTTAATTTAAGGTTAGTTATATTTAAGTTTAAAACAATATTTATGAAACGGAGTGAAATTTAAATTTAAAACAATATTTGTGAAACGGAGTGAAATTAAGTTAAGTTTAAAACAATATTTGTGAAACGGAGTGAAATTTAAATTTAAAACAATATTTGTGAAACGGAGTGAAACTAAGTTAAGTTTAAAACAATATTTGTGAAACGGAGTGAAACTAAGTTAAGTTTAAAACAATATTTGAGAAACGGAGTGAAATTTAGCCGCTGGCTGGAGCCGCACGGTCACGCATATAAACGGTCGTTACAATTAAAATAGGTAGGTAAAAAAAACAGGTCGTGGCGCATTTGGTCGATAACGCTTGGTATGGTTAAAGGTAAAGTTAATTTAGATAAAAAGAATTGGTTAGCTTTAGGTCCAGAGTAGACAGCACGAAGGGTAGTCTGCGCACGGAGTGCAGTCCAAACTCGTCGGGTTAAGTAGATGAATTGGGGTAAGCAGGGGCTTCGTCAGCTGCTTAGGACTGGAGAGTCCTTCTGGGGTAGGGACTGGTTATGTGTGACGTGGCCTGGGTAGCAGGACGTCAGGGTAACATGGCGGTATACTATGGTATAACATAGCACCGTAACATAGCATCATAACATTGCACCTCCTGGAAGGGGACGGTAAGTATTAGCCTTCCGGAGAAAAAAAATACATAAAAGGTAATTAGGTAATCTACATGAAAGGTAGATATTAAATTAATATTAAGAAATTATAAATTCTACTAGATATTAAGAAATATTTGTATGTTATTCCTTTGTAAGTTGATATTTTATTAAGTAGGTAATCTACATGAAATGTAGATATTAAATGAATATTAAGAAATTATAAAATCCATAATATATTAAGAACATTTGTATGTTATTCTTTTTTTAAGTTAGTATTTTAAAGTAAATTGAACATTCCTCTTTATGGAAAAACTGCGTTACAAGTTTTATTTATCTTAAAAACTGTTGTTTCAATTACTTATACCCAGTAATTGATTAGAAAGTGTGAATTTATTTAGTTAAAATTATTCTTTCATTGTATTATAATGATTGAGTTAAATAAATACCTGTCGGAGGCGTTGAAGACAGCAAGTATATTAATAGTTTATTCTTCCATGTTATTACATATCTGTAATTAATTAGTGTGGTAAGTAACACATTCCTACAAAACTAATGGATTTAAGGGAGGTAATCCTTTTCAACAAACACTGTCTTCAAAGAAAATTTCATAATGGGAGTTACTCTTTATGAATTATTTTACAGGATATTGATTCCTGAAGGGAATAAATGAATATTTAGGCATATTTGACTAATCATCATAGGAATGTAGTATTAACTAGTTAATAATTTGTAAGGATTTATAAAAATCTTGACAAGGAGGTTATCTTATGAAGTAATACATGATTTCCACATGTGATTACTATAAAAGAATGCATATTTTACTGTGATCTGGTAAGATCATTAAAAATAAAGTATAGTCATTGCTTACCAATTAAGAAAACGTGTGACCATTTCTCACGTGGAGCCGGCCCATGTTAGATTTTGTATAAATCTGTGTAAATAGGGGTTCCTTATGCTTCGCCAAAAAAGCGAATCGTGGAACGTGTTCGAGAAGAAAAATGTAAAAATGACTTTTTTCTTAAAAGTTTTATAGCGTTGGCATATTGATAAATAAGGGCGGCGTTATACACAGTCGGTGTGCGAAGTCTATGAACAATGCGCTGGAGCACAACGTGTCCGTGAGTGATATAGGACGGAGGCTTTTTGTCCTTTTCTAACCGTGTAATTAATAAATTATAAAAAGTAAATTTTATGCATTAGATCAAAAATTTAGGGCTACAATATCAGGTGCACTATACAGCTGCGATCTTAAGATTATTGTCTATATTGAACTATCAAGAATCGAATCTACCTCACTGGGTACTTAGGACCTCACTATTGCCGACGTAAGATTACAAGTCTGGCTTCTTGACTATGGATAATGTATACCTAATCTATCTGATCCTAGTTTGTCCTGGGTCAAGAAGGCAAGAACTTTATGTTGACAAATCGCATAGTATTTAAGATTAAGTACATACCCGCTGTGTGTTACATAATTAGATACAATTGAAGGAAAACCGCTTGAGGAGCTCGATGGCGCAAGTGGTTAGCGCGTTCGGCTGCGATCGTTGAATTTAAGCAACTTTCGCAGTGGTCGGTCATTGGATGGGTGACCAAAAATCTTCTATCTCGAGTTCCTCCGTGCTTCGGAAGGCACGTTAAGTCGTTGGTCCCGGCTGCATCTGCAGTCGTTAGCACCCGCCAATCCGCATTGGGCCCGCGTGGTGGGTCATGGCCCAATCTCCCTATCCCATCCATAGGGAAGGCTTGTGCCCCAGCAGTGGGGACATTAATAGGCTGATGATGATGATGATGATGATGAAGGAAAACCATTCATTGACATGAAGATATCCATCGACACTTACATCAAACTGCCTTGCATCCACAGCCGCCTGATGATCATCACTCGTATCGGAAGCTGGTTCGTACCACGTGCAGCTTAAAGATATCCCGATCGTACCATTCTGTATTTTCCTGTAACTCTCGTCGTACAAGTGGTACACTTTCGCATGAGCCAGTAAAATATTCTTCGCGCATATATACTCTGCAATACCTGTAGCATTGAGGAACGGCGCTTTCAAGTCACTGCCGTAGCCCTCATAGCATATCTGTTTAGGTTCGTTTATCGTCATCCAAAACTTGACTCTATCGCCGAATCTATCGAACAAAATCTTAGCATAATCCCTAAACCATTCGACTATTAAAGGATTGGTCCATCCACCCAATTTCTGCAGATTGTAAGGTAAATCCCAATGGTAAATCGTAACGAACGGCGTGATGTTATTGTCGAGCATTTCATTTATCAAGTTATTGTAGTAGTCAAGGCCCGGTTGGTTGATTTTGTCGGCGAATCCGTTGGGTAAGATCCTGGACCAAGACACTGAGAACCGGTAGAAGTCAATGCCCAGTTCCTTCATTAGTTCCACGTCTCTCTTGTACAGATGATAGGAGTCAGCTGATACGTCGCCAGTGCTGCCATCTTTTATCGGCGAGGGTACGGTGTGGGTAGCAATGTCCCATATGGATAAGCCTTTTCCTGGTGGTTAATAAACAGTGCTGTTAATAATTTTAAATTTGTATTTGTAGTAGAATTATTATTTATCAAACGGGGCTTCCCAAATGAGGCGAAGCTCTGTTGCCATCGATTTAAGTCTAAAACGTTATTACGAATGTTTTCTACTTCATGAAAGGAATTAAAAAAACCCCGGCGAAGAGCGTGTCGTGCCACGCGTAATGTAGGGTTCAGTAGTTGCCTGTCGTGATTACAATATATTTGAGCAGGAGTTTTTATTTTCTGTATAGGAAATTAAAAAAAAAACATTTTTAAATGTTTGATGTCAACATCAATCAATTGAATCATGAACCAGATATTATTTTTTACTTTTTAGTTCCATTTTCGATTTTGAAGTCAGTTTTATTTTTTGTTAAATTTTTTTTTTTACTTCATCCATTTTAGTGAAAATTACATCGTCCAAGTAAACAATAACACAATTGACGGAGAAATCGGTGAACATGCATAAAAAAAAATCGCGCGTGCCTATGAAATTTGAAGGTTTCCCTCGATTTCCCCGGATTCCACCATCAGATCCTGACTTGGTTCCAATGGGAAACCAAGGATGTGCACTCTTTCGAATAAAAAAATATTTTTGGAAATTGGTTCACAATTGACGGAGAAATCGGTGAACATTCACATAAAAAACATCGTGCGTGCCTTTGAAATTTGAAGGTTTCCCTCGATTTACCCGGATTCAACCATCAGATCCTGACTTGGTTCCAACGGAACAACTTCGAAAGTGCACTCGTTCGAATAAAAAAAGAATTTTGGAAATCGGTTCACAATTGACGGAGAAATCAGTGAACACAAATAAAAAACAACGTGCGTGCCTTTTAAATTTGAAGGTTTTCCTCGATTTCCCCGCATTCCACCATCAGATCCTGACTTGGTTCCAATGGAACAAGCTCGGATGTGCACTCTTTCGAATAAAAAAAGAATTTTGGAAATCGGTTCACAATTGACGGAGAAATCGCCGAACATACATAAAAAAATATATATACAGACGAACATAGAACCTCCTCCTTTTTTGAAGTCGGTTAAAAATATGATACAGCATTAAAGGTTACTAGCAAACCAGTGAACCAAATGTTCACCATAACCTGATTTAAAAAAAAATGTATTTAATTAATTGAGAACTTCGGAGATTTTGTGTGGTTTCGTTTGAAATTCGTGATTTCTCGAAAACCGGAAGTGCTACGTTACTCAAATCCGGTTTGTAGTCTTATCAGACTATTCTTAACTTATAACTTAAATATTCTCTTTATCTATCTCTTACGGTTTGGCCGCTGAAACAGCACCACAGACAGACGGACGGACGGACTTGTCTAATAGATAAGAGATTTTGCTATCACAATGTAAGTATAACATGCATTATGCGGCAGTGCGCATTCATCCAATGTTTTGTTCACTACGCTAAACTAAAGACAATGAATTTAAAACATTATGAATAACAGATACAATAATGATTTGTATGTTTTGAGTGTCTATACAAATCAAAGACTTCGATGATTTTTTTTAAATCCCACGGTATTTTATAACGCTAAAGTTAAGTTAGCATCAAGTGCTGAATAAAATAGGTAGGATGTAAGTACCCATGTAACCTCATAACAACTAACTAACTAAACTAGTTTTAACGGGTTAATGCACGAAACTTTATTTATTTATTGACGTTTCGCAGCCTTTTCAGGTCTGCTTCGTCAGAATAATGAAAAGGCATGAAAAGGTTGCGAAACGTCAATAAATAAATAAAGTTACGTGCATTAACCCGTTAAAAACTAGTTTTATTTAATGAGTGATGTGCGTGAAAACCTAAGAAACAAATATATACCTTGTAGTTAAAAAGTGTCATTACTTTGAGTCATAGTGACTCACTATAATATACCACGAAAATATCAGCTGTCTGTCTTACACTTTTCATATCATCCACACACATAATTATAGTCACGCTCACGTTTACACACACAAGCACACATTCACACTCACACCAAATACACACACATACTGCATAGAATTTCATACAAATACACCCTTTGTTTAACCTGTGTCAATTAAAATTAGTAAACTTTGTTAAATTTATATTCATACTCATGTTATTTGTTAACCAACATTGGCGTTTCGAGGTGGTGGGAGCCTGATGACCTGTAACACAGGTATATCGTACCTAGCACGGGCATCAGTCTCACACAAACATTAATGTAATGAACTATTTAAAAAATTGTTATCGATGCCAAAATGTTTGTGATGAGAAAATAAACGATTTATTATTATTATAGTGAGTAAAAAATACAAAACATGCAAACGTACCATCTTCATACCAGCCGCCTTCGATTTGGTACGCGGCCGTAGCAGCACCGAACAGGAAACCATCTGGGAAACTGCGGATCTGTTGTGTCCTTTTACACCAACCACCGTTCAGGTATAACAAACTGGAAGCAAGCATAGTTTTTTTTATAAAAGTACATCATCAGCCCATGAAATTCCCACCGCTGGGACCTGAGACGTCAAATCGTTAAGAGCCCTTTCACATTTTTTGCAAAAAAACGTAATTTTTGAGCGCCTCGTTTGCCCCCTTATAAGAGATTTTGACTATTGCCAATAGAAGTTAACAGTAGATTTATTCTTTCTTCTGTAAGTTAATGTAGAATATTTGCAAATACTATTTTCCTTTTTTTGTACTGATCGTTCTACCGTTTACGGAAAAAACGATATATGCACAACTTAAAACGCCTGAATCTCTAAATAATGTTCAATAAATTAGATCAAAATAATTACTACGACATCAGAAATATGTTTTTGTTGTAACATAATGTATTAGAATTTAGATTTTTCATCTCATTAATATAAAAAAAAAATCTAACCTTCGTGAGTTTTCCCAAAAAATAATGCAGGTTTACCTCGTAAGTTGATATTGAATTAAATAGAATTACTATCAAAAACTTTAATAAAACTAATCTACCATCATTGAACTACTGAAATATGTATACATTTTTAATATTAGTTCATTAATAATTATTTTATAAGACTCGAAACATCACCCGTAAAATGCAATATATACTAGTGCAAATCTACCTATGCGCCGATTAGTACGGCAGCGGCGCAATTTTGTAAAAGGGCTCTTAAGCTAAACGCGGTCAAAACGTAATTTCGCGATTAAATTTGGTCATTAGCCCGACTATGAGTGCCAATGGGATTCGGGTAAATGACTAAGTATAAATGAAAGTACGCCTATATTCGGGTAGTTTTCGTTTTGGTTACCCGACCTGTCTTCCAGCCCGTATTCCAGCCTAAATATTGCTCCGTGTGCCCGAATTCGGGCTAACGACTTTGATCTTTGATCGAAGATACAACATCCAACTTACCGCGGAAAAGGCAGATTACTCTGGCGCCGGGGAAGTCAGGATATACACAGATGGCTTCAAAACCAACATTGGTACTGGAGCCGGTGTCTTCTCGAACGACATCAATATAAAAATATCTACAACCTTAGACAAACCAAGCACAATAAATTGCTATTTTAATCTATCTTAAAATAGCAAATTATGTGTTGATTTAATTATTTATGTATTTATATAACGTATAATATGTATTAATTTTATATAACATTTTCTTAACGTAATACCCAGTAAAAATGTAGTAAAACACACACACACACATTTAGGACACAAAACATTTAATTAAATTAAGTAGTTTTTAAAATATCTTTGGGAGAAGACACTGATTTCTGTAACATAGGGTTATTATCCTAGCATAGAAATCAGGGTATTCAATCTTTTCATGTACCTACTTTTGTTGAGCAATAAAAATTATTATTCTCTTTATTTATTGTATACCATACTGATTACATTTTTAAATATTGATATAAAAATAAAAACATTTAAAAATATAAAAAATAGAAGCCAACCGGCAGCGGGAACAGGGTCCTAGCTACCGGTGGTTAGGGCCCCAGAGAGAGGAACCTCCTCACAATGTGAGCCGTGTCAAGGAGCACTGCCTTCTGTATCAGGCCCTTGATCCAGTCACCCAACTCGAGCCTCCGCAGATGACAGTCGAAGCTCTTAGCTATCAGGCCATTGACTGTCACAACTATCGGCACAATGATAGCCGAGTCAACATCCCACATGGCGACAACCTCATGAGCCAAGTCAAGATATTTTATTTGTTTATCTTTCTCGGCTTTCATGAGGTTCTCGTCATGAGGGATGGCCACATCAACTATCATTGCGAGGCGCTTTTCCCGATCTATCATCACTATATCAGGCTTATTAGCAACAATAGTCCTGTCAGTGATGATAGATCGGTCCCAGTACAGCGTGATATGACCACTTTCGAGAACTGGGTCGGGCACATACCTGTAATATGGCACCTCAGAAGCAACAAGGTTGTATTTCAGGGCAAGCTGCTGATGGATAATCCTGGCCACTTGGTTGTGTCTGTGCAAGTACTCGCCGTTAGCTAGACGAGAACAACCCGAAAGAATATGCCTAATCGATTCACCAGGACAGTGACATGCCCGACATATGTCAACCGTCCCATCTTTCAGGATATACTTTCGGTAATTGTTCGTCATCATAACTTCGTCTGCAATTGCACAAACAAAACCTTCGGTCTCTCCAAATAGATTACCGAATCGAAGCCAGGCCATGGACGCTTTGAGATCTACTTCGGGTCTATGTAGCGCCCGGAAAAAGCGTCCATGAAGCTCTTTGCCCTGCCATACCTCCCTGCGTTCATCTGTTGTCATTATTACAGGTTTGCGCCAGTTCTCTTTAGCTAAGGATAGAGGGGTCAAGCCCGAGTCCACTGCGACCACATCCCGATGCATACCTACGTCAGCTTTTAAAAAGTATTCCCTAAGGCTGCACACCTCACGGTTGTGGAGAGTCTTGGCATTTAAAAAACCACGACCTCCACACTTCCGTGGAATGTACAGCCTCATGACCGATGAACGTGGGTGATGCATTCGGTTTGCAGTCAACAGTGTGCGAACTCTTCTGTCCAGGGCGTTCAATTCTGTCTGAGTCCACTTGAGTATGCCAAAGGAGTACATCAGGACCGGCATGACCCAACCGTTGAAGGCGCGCACCTTATTGCCACCTGACAAAACACTTTTCAGTACTTTGTTCAGGCGACCAAAGAAGCGCTCCTGCACCGATTGTTTCATGTCAGCCCCATTGATGCCTAACCCCTCGGACATTCCCAAGTACTTGTAGGTCTCGTCTGCGGAGAGGGATCTGATATTTATAGAATCCGAAAGTTGCAATCCTTCGGATTCGACAATCTCTCCCCTCTTTACATGCATAACTGCACATTTGTCCACACCAAATTCCATATTGATATCTTTACTAAAAGTTTCTGTTACTTTCAGTAACTCCATCAATTGCAATTTAGTAGGAGCAAACAATTTTAGGTCATCCATGTAAAGAAGGTGAGATATTATCTGACCTCCTCTTCGCAAACAGAAACCCAGCCCTGAAGCTTCCAGCAATGTGCTGAGGGGATTCATGGCTAGGCAGAACCACAATGGACTCAGACTATCACCCTGGAATATTCCCCGCTCAATCCTTATCAGTTCGTCGTTCTCCCGAATTGGTCGACATCCTGGATAGCAAAGAACCGTCCTCCATTGCCCCATACATGACATCAGGAAGGTGCGTAGAGTTGTATCCACTTTGTACAACTCCAGCACCCTCATGAGCCATGTATGTGGCACAGAGTCATAGGCCTTCTTGTAGTCTATCCAACATGTCGATAAATTCTTTCGAGAACGCCGAGCCTGTTGGCTAATGGCCATATCGATGAGGAGAAGCTCCTTAGTACCACGGGACCCATTCCTACATCCATTTTGAGTAGCATTCATTACAGAATTTTGTACAATATAGTTTAAAATTTTTGCCCTCAAAATGGATGTAAGAAGCTTATAGACCGTTGGTAAGCATGTAATCGGTCTATAGTTTTTGGGTTCCATGGTACTACCTGATTTGTGGAGCAAGTGGGTAATACCAGTCGTGAGCAACTGCGGGAGCGAACCACTGTCTAAGCAGGACTGAAACTGCGATGCCAAGCAAGCGTGTGACGTACGTAGCCATTTCAACCAGAAGTTGTGCAGACCATCCGGCCCCGGAGACTTCCAATTCGGGACCGAACTGACTGCACAGGTCACGTCTTCCACCGTAATGGTAATGGGTTCCATTGGGGAAATTCCATCACACGCCTGCTCAACATCGCCCATCCAGTCACCCTCGATGTGGCTGACAGGTGCAGACCAGATGCTACGCCAGAATAAATTCGTAGCACAATCATCCGGCCGGCCCCCGTCAGCCACACCCTGGATTGGTTGCTCCCATGCTCTATATACCCACTTTTCATCACACTGAAACATGCGATTCAGATTAAAGCGTTCCACCCGACGCTTATACCGCCTAATACGGCTTGCCCATGCACAGACCCTTTGCTTCAGGAAGTCGATGCGCTCTGTGGCGCATGATAAATAATCCCGAGGACTGATATCAGTCCCCAAGAACGCCCGCCTCACAAAGCGCATCACTCTTGGCCTAGTATTACCCTCCCTGAAGCAAATGAGTTTACCTATAAGTGTCCTAGCTTCGGCGATACGACGTTCAATCCTGCACTGCCAGACCGGTAAAGTTTGTTTCGGTCGTGCAGTCATGTCTGGGAACTTGACATTGGCTACACGACACGCCGCAACGGCCACACAGTACAAAATCGAATGTGTATCACCGAGATTTTGACTGCTTTCAAAATAGCTACTAAGCAGCGAATCCAGGACACCTACTAAGGCTTTATTTTTTTTATGCATGGGCAAGCGAGGTAATCGCGGTCTAAGTTCGGGAGGAGCCATTCTATACTCTCGAATCGCATCCTCCAGAGCACTCCTCACTCTATCACTGTACTGTGTACTTACTGTAGCAGCCCTACCTACCTCCTCCACATCACTATCCTCATACCGCGGCAGGATTGCACGTGCTGGTGTTTCCACCGCGGTCAGTGACGGGACAGGGCCGACACGGCTGCTCAGCATCTCTAAGCGTAGCCTATCAAGCACGGTGTCATCCAACCTATGACTACGTTTAATGACCCGCACCTGATCCGAAAGTCGCTGGGCCGAAACGTTGAGGGCTGGTTCCAGTTCCTGAAACAGAGCATGCATCTTTACACGGTACGCGGTGAGATTAGTTCCTCCCTCTGTAGACCCATAGTATGCGCGCATGACGTTCTCATTTATTGTCTGAGTCCATCGCATGCGCGGCACACAACCACCGGCAGCGGGGGCCCGGTTCGGAACCGGGTGGCTCCTGGACCCTAAGCTTGCTGGTGGCCGGGGTCTCCCCGGCCGGCGCACAGGTGTTGGCGACGTCGGCGGGGAGAAGTACTCGTTGCTTGAGCTCGACGCTGTCGTAGCCACCGACGGGGTTTCTTCGGTCGGCGGGGGCGGCTGCAAGGCGGAGCTGAGCGACGAGTCCGGAGATGGAGGGCGTGTTTTTCTTGTTCGTCGTGGTCTTAATATCATTGTTTGTCTCGTGAAATAGCCATCAGAGTTATATTGACAGGTGTCATCACATCAGCACTTTTTTCATTTTCTTCAAATACATGTTTTCTAAAATTTTGAATAATAAACATTTTAAATATGACTTAAGCACAATTTAAAACTGCTTATCGTGTATATAACGACGTATTTAATATGTGAAATTTAAAAAAAAAAATTATTAAAATTATTATTATTATTATTATATTACAATCTTCCAGGCGGAATTACCAGAACGGCACAGGCAGTTGCAGCCAGAGACTGTCAGAGAGTTCAACATTAAGATCATCTCTGACAGTACATCCGTGCTTCAAGTCCTAAAGGCTGGAGTAAACGGGAATGTTTTAAGACACGCACAATGGTCCAACGATTAGGACTATGTGCGGAAACCGCCCTGAAAAACTAAACGGGGTAACGACCAAATGTTATTGAGCCATAATAATGGCGAGAGATGCTCGGCGCCTCCTGAGACACCCCGCACCAATTAGGTAAAGCCGCCTCTGGCTAGGACACAAGCTTTTGAACCACAGAACACAGAAATAAGACCTTTTTATGAAAATGCACCCGAAACCAAAAGCTTTATTAGTTTCTCCCGATGCACGGTGCATAATTTTCACGAGAAAACTTGCTTAATTTTCACGATCGCGGACTGTGACAGACTAACTACTTGCGATATGGAGGGTCCCACTCAAATTCCACATTAAAAATAAAAATAAAGATTTTTAATACTTACAAGCAAAAGAGAAATCCGCGGAACATCATAACTTCTCGGCCGCTGTATTACATCTGATACGATATCCGACGTAATGTTTCACAATCGTTATGAAATAGGTTTATTCTGCGATTCTAAATTTATTGATATATTGAGCAAGTCTCATGCTTTATGTCTATGAGGTGTCTGGTGTCTAAAATATCTTTAATATTTTAAACAATTAATATATCTAATACATTGCTAATATTCTTTTAATATGTATTGGTATTTTTATATGAGAACCAACGCGTCAAGATATGTAGATGAGACATTTCACAATCACAACATTAATTAACTTAATGATGGCATCACTTACAAATTGTACTATTAAGTATTTACACTACCATTCAAAAGTTTTTTAGGGTTCCGTACCTCAAAAGGAAAAACCGGAACCCTTATAGGATCACTTTGTTGTCCGTCCGTCCGTCCGTCTGTCAAGAGCGTTTTTCTCAGGAACGCGTGAAGGTATCAAACTGAAATTCATATCTAGTCCTCATATCTACTGTCCCTTGGAGCTGTGTAAAAATCAAACTTCTAAGCCAAAGCAACCAAAAGATACCGCCGTTTATGCCACAAACCGTAAATTTACGAAACCCGCACGGGAATCTAAACCTACAGGGTACTTCCCGTGAACTTAAGAATCCCGAAATTTCGTTTAAAACGTCTTATAGTACAGATGAAGGAATTATAGCAAAAACCGTAAATTTTTAGTTACATCATTAACAAAATATATTTTTGAAATTTTTTAAAGTTACTACCTCTTTTCTCATGAACGCGTAGAGGTATTAAATTCAGTTTGTACGGAACACTCGGTGCGTGAGTGCGACTCGCACTTGGCCGGGTTTTTTTTTACTGAGAGTTAGCCCGTAGAATGTAATAAGAAAAAGGAATAGTAAAATTTTATATATTTTTTTCTAGTAAAATTTTCTTTAGATTTAAACATCTAGCAGTAAAATGCTTATAATAAAAATATAATAAAGAACTAATGTTGAAGTCAATTCATAAACCTACTACCTATGTAAGATCAAGAAAACACCTGTTTATTTCAGTCCTCGGAACTTTCCTCGGAAACAGAACCAAGCACGCTACAGCAGAATAACCCATATCAAGATCTCTCACAGAACTTATTTATATTTAAAATTTCTCCGATATCCATATCATCACATTCATAACATCTTTTCAATAACTACAGTCGTGAACAAAACATTACTTAAAAAAAAACAGAATAAATATTGATGTTTTATTTGGCTCTTGAACCTGGTTGTATGCTCTAAGGCCTAAGCCATGATATACCGTTGTGTGATAATTTCAATCATGTGTTAAATTGATATAAATACGCCCGAATATATTTACATAAAGTAGAAAAAAGCGTTGAATTGCAGTGAATGATAATTTAGATCTATCTAATCATAGATAGACTTGAATCTAATAGTGAATGGCTCCTGTCCCCGTAGCGATAAAAAACGTGACAAAGAAAATTAAGGTGCTCATCTCAATTTTCTTTGTCACGTTTTTGATCGCGTCTTATTGTAAAACTCCATAGTAATTTGACAATTGAGCGTGATAAAAACGAGTTATATATCATATTGCGATGCTCGTGCTTAGGGGGCTTGGTAAGCCCGCTACAGAAGACCAAGAGCTAACCATTCATAAATAGTAATAAAAAATATACACCGTAAATTCTTGAAGATAACTAAAGAAATCCAAGTAAATAAATGCTGTTCCAGCTATCTTCTCGTCTGGACCGTCACTTAACATCAGGTGGGGCGGAGGAGATTAGCACGAACTAATATCAAATTTGCATCGTTTGTGAGTACGAAATGTCATTGTCAAATGTGTACTGATTTTTAGTTCTCGTTACGTACGTTATGGCGCTGCTGTTCAAGTTTTCATACAAAATTTGACAATGACATTATGGAAAAAATCCCCGAAAATTCGTATAATTTATAGTTCATTTTTCAGCCACCAGCCGCGCTGCCGTCGGTAAGTAGTATCTGTGAAGTTAGCTGTTTATGAGTACAAGTAGATGAAGTTGGTTGAATAGTGTACAAATTTTCTTCGCGGCATTGATCATTTCAAATAAGCGGGCTGTTCGCTTTTATTGAGACAACTTAGCGATCGCAGCGCCTCACTTATTTTGTCCATGTTTCTGGGACACTATTTTCTACAGTGATTGTTCTCCTGCTCTCTAACCCCCCTGGTCTTGGTGTAAACGAGAGGTTATGTTGCCAATTCGCAGCGCACACCTATTTATCAAATGACATAAAGCATTGTTGGTATTGATTGTACTATCATTATCAATAACTGTTCTCAAGGTTCAATTGGTTTCCATTTATCTTATTAGCGTTTCAAGTTATCTATCAGCTGTATAGTTAGAATCCAAGTGCCTATATTTCTATAATTCAGTACAGTTTGTTTGTTTTCATTGAAAAACAAAACAAAGTATTTATTTTCCCATGACTTTCGGCCATATTCTCATTTTGTGGGAATTAAACAAAATGAAACTCAGAAGATGTGGATCTATGAGTACCATGCTTTGGCATGACTACGGTATGCTACTAAAAAAACTTTTTAAAAACTAGCTTTTATTTAAAAGCGCTAAAAATAATAATACAAAATATTTTCTTTAAATCTTTTACTATCAACTTATAACGTCATTACTCAATTTATATAATATAAACGCTTCGTAATCGTATGAACAGGGCCGGATTTGGAAGTGTGGGAGCAATAGGACAACTAAGGAGTAATAAAAATAAAGGTCCCTAAATCTGGGGCGGAACACGATTACGATTAATTTTCTTAATTTACGATTTTAATTTAAACAGTATCAGCTGTTACAGTATTTCCAAACAATTTTTTCACAAATTAACATACAAAGTTATAACAAAACACAAAATTTATCGAACGGACCATTCAAACAAAACTGCTCATGGAATTACAGATCGCGGCCAAGCTTATATCTGTGAAAAAGAAAAGCTTATTAAAATATATAAATAAATAAATATTTCCAACACTCACACCAACTAGCCTAGCCCCAAAGTAAACACTGTTAAGGCTTGTGTTATGGGATAGGATAGGGTAACGGATAGAATACATATATTGTACATATATAAGTATATTTATATAGAAATACATATTAAACATCCATGACTGGAGTACAAATGAATTCATCACACAAACATCTGCCCCCACCGGGATTCGAATCCGTATACATAATATTTATAGTCTTTATATTGTTAGGCTGCGTGAAATAATTCTCCCCATAAAAACTTTCATTCTCAATATCATGTTTTTAATTTAAGAGACAAAAAGTAACTTTTTTCCATAACAAAATTAGCCAAAGTCGGTGTAGCACTTACAAATAAAGTAAATAATTAAAGCAAAACTCACTGTCATTTGAAACTGTGCTTACTCTTCTTGCGATTACCTGCAAAGAATGGTAAGTTAAAATATTTACTCGTTTAGAATCTAAAAAAAAGATACCGCCAAAATCGCGTATGAATGGTTTTCTACCGGTAAATTAGTAATGAAAACCTAGAATGAACATACCGTAACAAACCAAAATTTGTCTTTGTAGCCTCAGGTCTTTCCTATCGATGGAATAGGGAGATTGAGCCGATTGCAGATCTGCCGTCCTCAAGCCAAAACGCGGCTAAATGACAAAACCCACTTTTGAGATATGGCCAAGAAAACAACGTGTAAACTTTAAATTATTGCTATTTTGTAAGCATTCATGACGGATTTTTAGACTTAAATTATAAAATTATATACGAGTACTTGTTATAGACAGATGGATAGAGAATTTAAAACTGTATAAGATAAAAAAAATCAAAAAAAACGGACTGAAAAATCAACCATATATTAATTAGGCGCACTTTAGTTTGAGAACGACAGAGATGCAGTCGGGACCAACGGCTAAAAGTGCCTTCCAAAGCACAAAAGAGCTCGAGATAAAAAGTGTTTAGTTACCCATCCAATTACGAAATCCAAATACCTTTGCGAAAGTTGCTTCACTTTCACGACCGCAGGCCGAATGCGCTTTTTATAAACCACCTCCGCCATCAAGCTTAATGAGTAGCATGTTTTATGAAAACAGTATTTAAGAAATTACAAAAACTCACGTTTTTAAAACGGCATTTGTCCATGTAACTATGCTGCTGGCGTTTCACAGGTTTCTTTGTGCTGTTGGATTTCAAACTGGACCTAATGATAATATTATATTAATGTTAAAAGTAATAGTTATTTATTATACAAGAGTGGAAAGTTCCTTTTTAACCGCGTGCTCGATTTGGATGACCGAGCAAGCGAAGGATTCTAAAGTTGAATCACGAGCGCAGCGAGTGATTCTAAATTAGAATCCTGAGCGTCAGCGAGGGAAACAAACGAGCACAAGGTGAAAAATCTTTCCACTCGAGTGCAATACGTAACTTTTCATCCCACCTCAGCGAGGAAATGACAAAATGAAAAAGAAAACAATTTATAATGACAAAATATTTTTATTTCAATTAAAACACATTAAGATAATCTATAAATTGAAGAAAATAATAAGAAGTAGAAAATAATTAAGAAATATTAAATGTAACGTTGCTACAGTTACTTATGTTAAGTTTAATATTTTTGTTAGGTAATGTTATGTTGGTGTTTGTGAATTGTGCGCTGTTTTGTGGTAAACTACTCGTATCAGTAATTTTAAATAGTTGTGCCGATTCATTGGATTCTATTGGCGTAAATGTTGGCGAGAGAGGGCTATTGTTTCCAATCTTATGGGGGCTCATTTTAGATGTAGAAGGGCGAGACCAAGAATCTGACAGAGGTTCTTTCAGCGTTATGGCCTCCACGATACTATTACAAATTTTTGATTTACTTTGGATTGAATCCTCTATGTATCCCTCTACAACCGAATTAGACTTCCAGCCTCCATGGCGCTTAAGCGATAGAAGATCAGCCCCTGATTCGGCCAAAAGTGTGGCTGAGGTTCTTCTAAAACAGTGACCGGTGTATAACGGGGGTTCTAAAAGTCCGAGAAGAGTTGCTATTTCTCGTGGAATACTGCCAATTTTATTCTGACCCATAGGTTGTCGGATACACTTTCCGTTGCGATATTGTAGAAAAAATCGTTCAATTGGGGTGTTAGAAGGACGTAAAGCTTGATATTTCTGAACAATGTTTACATATTCCTTGCGAATAACGAAGTTGCGGTCTTTTTTTGTCTTGGTATTTAGTACATTAATTAATAGCAATTCATCAGAATTATGAGAATATTTTGATACGTTATTGACATTAAGTAGTGTAAGTTCATTTGTTCGACATGCTCCGGTTATACCAATAATAAGAACAACCTGTAACAAAAGAAGTATTTATAATCGTAAATAAATTAATCAAATTAAAAATATTGTAAGTACTATGTACAATTTTATCAACAACAAAAAATTACACGTATTGACTTACTTTTGCCGCTAAATATACGGAATCAGGTGCTTCATTAATAAACTTTGCAATTTCAGATGCTGTGAAAACCTTCGATTTTTTTGGTTTATAACCAGATGAGGCTCTTTTTAAAAATGCCACTAATTTATGATAGGTGTCGATATGAACGTCTTTCTTCATCTTAATTGTTAATTTTAGCATTGAATACGTACTCCATAGCGTGCTTGCTTTCTTGGTCTCAGATAATTCTATAAAATATGCCAGCAAAACGTTTTCGGAGAAAGTTTTTGCTCCTTTAGCTAGTCGCCACATGTTAAATATATCGTACTGTTTCAAATACTTCTCTCGTGATTGCTGAGGGAGAAGGCTCATTTGCGCATTATTAACTGTTTCAGTTAACTCAGTTGGCGTTAGATAAACTTCATCGTCGCTAATGTCACTCATTTTAGTTGATTTTTTTGTACAGTTTTTAGGTTATGTTAATTATATTAAGCAATAAAACGTGAAAAACTAGAATGGCGCGAAGCACGCAAATAAAACAAAGAAACCAAGAAGGTTCCAAATTTAAATTTTTTCACAATTTAAAAAGTTCTAATCATAAATTTGGCACCATAGAGGTTACATTAAATAGGTTTAATGACGTTTTGAATTTACAATTATATTGAGTACTCATTATATGTGATGTTCTAAATTCAAATCTACTTTGCCGCTCAAGCGAATAAAATAGAATTTTCCAGCCAGATTTCGAAGCGCAAAATTACACTTTCCGAGGTGGTGGGATGAAAAAGATCTTTACATAGTACCAATTATCGTTGTTTTATAAAGATATGATCATGAGGATATACATATATATATATATATATATATATATATATATATACATGCATGTTTATAAACTTTCAGACACATTTATCGGCCCAACCAGCGATACAAGTTTCAACGGTATTTACCAAAAATATTGGTTAGGTAATAATATATTTTTAAAAACACACAAAGAAAATGGTTAGAAAAGCAGCTTCAAAAGTGAGTAAAACATTTTGTGCAATGTACCTAACATTTAATTTTAGCTAAGAACCGTCAAAACTTAAAAATAATAAGTGGGCCGATACCTGTGTACGGGAATATAATATGTATATATTATATGTATTTTTGTTATAGTTTAGTAATAGCTACATAGGTTTTATTTTTGTATTATCCTTACTTCAGTAGCCCATCTATCTATCTATCGCTTTACATCCTTGACTGGTAGAGGATCCCTACTTTAACTGTTTTTATGGTACTAAATATTATATTAAATAAATAAATAAATGATCCAAAAAAAATACCCTATGATTTCATTGCTGGCCTCTATCGCACGTAATCGGCGATTTAAATAATCATATTTAATAGGCTATTTGACGTGTTTTTGAAATCGTATATACGTTATTTATTAGTGTTTAGTGACTCCACAAAAAGTGGATATTTATGTATCTGTTGCGTTTATCAGTAAAAAACAAAAAAATATTTTCAGTTTTCAAATATGCCAAGTAAAAGTTTCTCTAGCAAATATGGCGTGTTTACAAGCAGGTGACGTCACACGGCTTACATTTTAACCTCAAACAGTACAAAGTAATGTCACTACATTCTAAACCTACGCTCTTGTTGCAAAACAATCTCAAAGTTGACATTAGCTTCATACATTTTACGTCAAAATTGAAACGTCAGGGTAAAAAGTTGCACTCAGAGCGTAGGACGGAACGCAGTCGGAACGCAGTCCATGTGACGTCATTTAAGGCTCCGCCAATTCTAGGCGTTTCCGGTCACGTGGCAATAGATCAAAAATACTTTTTTAATTCATGATGTTTAGGCATATTATCAACTATTTTTTTGTCAAAAGAGTGAAGTCGCTACCAATATTCATGATAAATACATGCCCATAATTTCTACTTTATTTCTTTAACTATCAACCAACCTATTCATTCTCTATCTACGAAACAGTAGGTGATGCTTAAATGGTGTATGTAATAATGTTTACCTTTGGATCTTTTTATGTACATTCGTCGAATCTTCACCTCGTTTGACCCATTCGTATACAGGGTGCTTTTATGAAAGAAAAAAAACATTTACATTTATGCAAGTTAAACTACGTTCACAGATAGAGGCCCAAGAACTTTGATAGACTCTTAATCGTATCGTCATATTCAGATTACGTCAAATATTGTATGGGAGGAGCCAGTTCGTTCTTACGTCCGCGTCCGGTAGAAGCGCTGCTATAGGCAATTAGGTCTACATTCTTCTAGCAATAAGTCGTTAAATTTTACGAGCTTGCTTTTTCAACTCTGACACATGCATTTTAATTAAGACCTTCCACAGTATGCATTTAAGGTGACTTTCAATGTTTAAATAATGCCTATACTGTTTTTGACTACGCGATCATTTTACGTAGCTCCGTAAATCGTTCAATGTACCGTTGGGACAGGTTTCGGGCACGATTTTGTTCGTGTTGTTGCATCTAGGTTATTTAATATCGTTGGATGCGATAGGATTACGGGCTTGTCAACGTTCGTTCTTGGACTTCAGTATATGTATTGTGATCGCCATCGTCATCCATCCTACTTATATAGTTTTTAATGTTGCAGAGTAGGATATGACATGGCGGAGTTCACATCACAGCTCCGTCCGGCAATAGTATTGTGTTCCATAGCGTAACAGATTTTTTAATAAGACAACACGTATTGTAGGATTGTATTTTTTTTTCTTTCTTAATTAATGTATAGGGTAGGTGACAAAACGTATTTTCATTCTGAGCCTACCACTGGGCCTTGTGCGTTGGTACGACTTTACGGCCGACGCCAGCACCAATGAGCAAGGAGTTTACTTCGAGTCCCCGAAGTATAAGCAGCTATCAATCAGCTCTCAAATAATTTTCCGTTACATCAAGTGAGTGTACCATTTCTCTGGAAGATATCGTGAACCTTCTGACCTTGGACTGTGGCGAAACTAGTGGTAGGCTCAGAACGAAAATACGGTTTGTCACCTACCCCATACATAAATTAAGAAAGAAAAAAAATACAATCTTACAATATGTGTTGTCTTATTAAAAAATCTGTCCATGTACCTATGTGCGATATATTGCCGGCAATAGTTTCCCAAGAGCGTTGACGAGCCCCGTTCTGAAGCCTAGCCCTCGGTACCCATGGCGGTGTAAGGAACGTTTGCGGTAAGTCGCCGAACTCCGGCTTTTATCATACAATTGCATCGTCAAAGTTTTTATGTAAACTAAGCAGAGTAACAAGTTCCTACCGGACGTAAGATCAAACTGGCTTTTTCCATACAAAATTTGGCGATGACGATGCATTACGAATCCGTTAAAGTTTGTGCTTTGGCCTTTGAAAGTCATATCAAGATTGTTGATCGAAGAATATTGGAGTAGAATGCAAGAGGCACTACGAAGTCGCTTGAAAACACACGGTGCGCGCTCAGGCACTTAATTTGAATAAGAAAAAAATGAAACCAAATATTTGACATGACTTTTAATTAAGTCCATGCAATTAGCAGATATTTTGATAACATTTATTTTACCTGTTTTCTAGGCGAATAACATTCACCAAGTCTTTTTGTCTTGTGACCTGGAAATAAGAAATCTGCTCAAAAATGTATTTATTTGTTATAATCAGGATCTGTGTGCAGTACAACCGATTTTAGATTTACGTGATTAAAGTATCATGTTCACATGCAATTAGTCAATCAAACTGAGAAAACATTTATTAGGCTTATTTACTATTTATTAGAGGCTATTTAGATAAGAAGAAAAGCATCAATCAACCATCACCTCCCCAAATCCCTTCAACATTTGCCAATTTGTATGTTCTTGCCACCCGCCGTCATAAGGAGGAAATGTCGCCAAAATTTATCAAAAACTTTTCTAAGTATATGAGTTAGTTTCACCGATATTAAATACCCTGGATACACCAACACGAACAAAATCGTGCCCGAAACCTGTCCAAATGGTAATATTTTATATTAAATCAGTTTATAGTAAGTATTAGATCAAAATTTACTTCAAATGCGTTAAATTAACAAATATTGATTAGATACCGGTCGAAAAATCGACACTTTACGTACTCTAAGTATTATTTTCGCATTTTTTCGCGGAGCCCTGTGGCATCTTGACTTTATAACGGTCCGCGCGTGACTGTGAACCAGGAAGTGCTTGAGTGGAGTTCAAGCACTTCTTGATTGGGACACATTTTGAGCGCTCGTGGTGTATCTAGGGTATTAATTATCGTTGGTTAGTATTTAATATAAGATCCTAAACTTACTTCTTAGTTTGTGTTGATGATTTCCAGCCGATGATGATACATTTTGCTGTCCATGTCCAACTATATATCTCTGCTGTGCGATTCGATAACAAAGAATGTAATTTAGTATTCGAGAGTAGGCACGCTTTGAAGTCAACTTGGTGAATTAGTATACATTTTTGGCCTTTAGCGTATGATAAAGCTTTGGAATGAGCTCCAAGCCCCCATAGCATGAATACCGCGATATATGTTATATAAAGCATTTTTATGACATTCAATTGTCAAATGACTATGGAGTTTGACAGTTGGACGCGATAAAAAAACGTGATATGATGTAAATTGTGGTGCTCATGCTACGGAGAATGGGGTCGTATTTTAAACTCTTTTTTAAAGCAAGGTAAAAACAGCGACTGAAGCCGGATGCCTAAAGTGTACGTATGTGATATCTCGCTCAAACAATGGAATTTACCTGGCATTAAGCCTTAAAAGGGGAGGCGCGAAATCTTTTTTCCATACAAACGTTCTCGAGTAATTCCACCTTGAGTTTTATTACTAAAGAATTGATTTTCATACATAAAATATAATTTTACGCATTCTATGCTCCTATGTTTTTCTTTTTTCGATAACTTGTGTTTCAAAGAAACTAGAAGTCCTCACAAAAGACCCAAAATAAACAAATTTTTATTACCGCTGAAGACGTCTAGTGTGGAGATTTAATAAGCATTTACAAAAAAATCTTAAACATGAGAAGCATAGTATAACTACTTCTTATTCTTTGCGTAAAATTTATTTTACATGTGTCTAATTTTAGAGGAGGAAATCGTCGAGAGCCAAACCTTGAATTTTGCAAATTATATACGCAATTATCACACGGTATTTGCCAATGCGTGACAGCAATAGTTTATTCAAATACCTATTTCTTAATTATCTCTCAGCTCGCGTCCGCTGTTAAAGGTGGGCTTTCGAAGCGAGCGTCAGTGACGCCGCGACAGAGTGTCAGATAGAATTTCTATGCAAATGACACTGTCAGTGCCGCTTTGACCGACGCTGACATTGACATTAGCATAGAAGTTCTATCTGACGCTCTGGTCGCGGCGTCTCTGACGCTCGCTACGAAAGTCCACCTTAAGGCCTGCTGCGAGTGGACGACCGCGCCGCGTGCAGCTTTATGTTATTTCATGAAACAGCGCTGAGAAGGGAGACCCGCCTAACGCGGCGCTGCTCAATGAAATAACATGAAAAAGCACGCCTAGCAGACGTCCGCTCCGTGTTCCCGCTTAACGCAGTATACGCCCTTACAGTTCCTAATACGGCCTCTGTTGAGGTTTTCCCAAAGGAATAAATATGGCATAGGCCTACAAAAGCGGAAGTTTCCATAGTATTGACGATCGCTTGTGCAGTAACTGGTATTGTTCATGTCTATAGGCCACGGTGATCGCTTAACAGCACAGCACTTCGTGCTTGGCTTTGTAATTTTAATCTGACATTTAATTGCGTGACTATACGGGTCAGAACTGAAAATCAGCGATTTACTCTCTGAGTAAATGTTACTCTGAGTTTTCGCCCATTCGCATCGCTGCTGCACACGAAAATATCATAGTACAGTTGTATAAATAGGTATAATTTGTTCCATGTATTAAAGGATTTATAAAAAATGTAAACTTTTATCTATCTATCTATCTAGGCTTATCGAAATGCAAGTTTAATTTTGACTGTCTAGTTTGATTTCCGGTTCCGGTAATTGTTCTATTTTGAATTCCTCTTATTAAGAAAAGTATGGGACTCCTTCGATGCTAACGGTCTTACTACAAAAATGATAATCGTGGTTTCAAAGCTTGATAAGGCAAATTTTTTAAGACATTTTTCTTAAATTCGTGTGCATGTATAACTTTTTTATGGAAATAAGGTAATAGTAATAGTTTATATCTATGTCGTTTCTATCACAATTTTTATGTATTTCCGATTCATAAATATTCTTTCTTACTAATTAAGTAATTTGACCATGAAGAAATACAGTTATGATTTTGTCATTTACCTGAAACGGTCCATTATGTGTGAAGTGATTATTCGATGTATACAGCTCGTTGTAATGCCTCTGTGACTGCAAAATATTGTTAATAAGCGTCAATAGAGTCCAATCAATCTATTGTTAAATTAACAAAATAATAGTTAAGCAATCAGATTACCTCCAGTAAATATCGATATGGCGACATGATATCTTCATCTGTAATGAAGTTAAATTATCATTAGGTACCATTTACACTTGATTCTATTGTATTTATAAACCCTGAATATTTTTCTATCTGTTTGACGAAATGGCTATCCATGGCTCCATGGGGCAGACGTAACAGAAACCCACTTGGCGTGTAGGGAAGGATTAATTTTATTTTGCTGACGTAACTAATAGATATTTTAAGCATGCTGAATTACAGCTTTCTGGTGCGAATAGCACAATTATACTTTGTTGTTAGCCCGAATATGATAGCCTATGGAATTCTGACAAATTATTAATGGCTCTATTACACTTGGTCGTTAGCCCGTATTCGGGTACACGAAAGATATTACTTGACCGAATAGGGATGATGACGGGGTACAGTAAACAAAATTCTATTTAGTCCGTCAGTTAGATGATCAAAAAATAATGGTCACGTATTTTTCCTTTGGGTAATCAACCAAAAATGACAAAGTTAGATCGCGTCAAAGTTTGGGAGTAGGGGCTCGTGACGTCACTTTTGAGTGAATTTTCACTTATAAGTGTACTCAAACGTGACGTCATGCGACTTTTCAAATCAATATATCTCTGCAATGTTTATATTATGTGAAAAAAGAAAAAATACGTGTCCAATACTTTTTGATAAACGAAAAAAAAAAGTCATCATCCCTATTCAAGTACGGACGCGGATTTTCAAATCAGTCACAGCTACGTAGCCACTGGCTGCACCCGTTTTCTGTATAGTCTCGTCAGAGACATCGAAACTTATTTTAAGTTCAAAGGTATCTCTCTTGGGTGAGTTTTCAATATTGTCTAGGCTTAATAACAGTTGTAATGGTGTTCTCCTTTCTAAAAGTTTAATGTAGGCACTATGTAACGCCCACCTGTCCAATTCCTATATAATTTTGAACCCTTGGGTTGGGTCCGTCTTGCGAAATCCAGATACAATAGGGATGATGATTTTTTTTTCTTCGTTTATCAGGTAGATTTTCAAAAAGTATTGGACACGCATTTTTTCTTTTTTCACATAATATAAACATTGCAGAGATATATTTTCACTTAAAAGTGACGTCACAAGCCCCTACTCCCAAACTTTGGCGAGCTATTACTTTGTAATTTTTGGGTTGATTGCCCAAAGAAAAAATAAGTGTCCATTATTTTTTGATCATCTAACTGACGGACTAAATAGAATTTCGTTTACTGTATCCCGTCATCACCCCTATTTTTAAGTGCAATGTGGAGATTTTGATACGATGAAGAAATTTTGACGCTGCGGAGTATGTCTGAGTAATCTCCAGCCTGGAAACGATGACAATATTTTGAACGATAACGGAAATTCCCCGGCTGTATCCGACGCCTCCTACCTGACGCCTGAAGCTTCTGAGGAGCTGGATTTCCACTAAATTTAGGACGAATCCCCTTTCAGGCCAGTGGTAATTTTATCTCCTTCCCAACCTACCCAGACGTGACGGCCGCGGAATTGAATTTGGGCAAATAAAGGATTCGCTTTCTACGAATAAATCTTTTATACCGAACCCTCTAACAACTACCTACGAACTCTATCAGCCACACCATAATTTATTTTAACAAGACAGTTATGTAAAATGTTCTAAACTGTTTTGATAATTCTTACACTCGTTCAGTAATTGGTTACAAAATCATTGCTTGAGTGAAGGCTTCACTATACTATTTGTAACCGAACTATTTTGTTATCTGCAACATAATTTTCTGATGAACTATAGCTGTTTATTATTATCTTACTTGCAAAAAGATTTTTTCTGCTTTAAAACCCTGTACGTGATACTTGCTAACATGTAAGTACTGGGTGTTAACAGGTGATTGGTGTAATCATAATACCCTGGTTTCCAATCTATTTTCAAATACAATTTTTATAAATATACCTTATACGTTTGCACAAAACAATCTCTTTAGCGCGATTCAGCGGATGAACCGAACATTTAACAAAACAGGTACTTGCAATCTGTAACCGAACTTTAAGGCTAACAGTTACAACACTTTTCAGTTATTCATAGCGGTTTTTGTGCTTGCTAATAAATAGCACAGAATAGTTGTAGCTAGGCCAGCTCTATGTAAATAATCACATCAAGTGTGTTTGATTATAACAATACATTGTTTTGTTACAGATTATCAAAATCGAATTTGACAGTTTATAACAAAGTGGTTTAGTAGTTTTTAATTAAACTCGATTAACTGAAATGATAATGTAAAATGCAATGGAGTTGGTCTATAAGTGACTGAAATGTATTTATTATTAAACAAAGTTTGGCTATTCAACGGTTAAGCGGTTCAACTAGTTTTGTAAATTACTTTTTCCAGTGTAACGACCAAGTGTAAATGCGCCTTGAGTCTGTGAGCTATGCTGCGGTCGGACGGACCAACCGACATAGTGAAACTATTAGGGTTATCCTTGTCGACTCAGGAATTACAAAAATGTTAATTGACATTAAGATAAAACTAATGGTCGATGGACAGATAGTAACAATACAGAAACACAAACTTGGAATAATCTGCGCTCTACTTCTGAATGTCACAATTCTTCTATCATTTTCGTTGGCTCTGTCTGTTCTCCGTCTCATTCTGTTCACTTTCACTATCTCCTTCTTTTCTATTTCCACTCTTTTTCCGCTTTGACGGTAAGGCGTTTTGCAATGTTGCTTTCTTTCCGCTAGCGGGCTCCACCAGTCTTTAGTATTAGTGCTGACGTCACGCACACGCCTAGGTGACTCTATGGTTTGTATCGCTTTGGAGTTTGGTTGTGCGATACTGGATTGTCTATGTTTAGCCCTTTTATTGAAGGAGGTTAGGTTGTATATTATGGAGCTTGCATGCGTTTCCGTTGTAGAAGTAATAGATTCGTCGCTATAGGTATCGCTCGAGAAATACTTGTGAATAACTTTTCGTAACTTTTCTGAAAATAGAACATAGGAATTAATGTTCTGCTTGCCGTGTCCTACGTTTTCTTTGGAAAATTTTGTACTCAAACCACTAATGCGCAAATTGAATCTTAATTTAGTTCGCAATGTTTTTTTTTTCAGTTCTCAAATTAAGTAGGGACTTAGTAATATCTAATAGCTTTTCAGTGTCAGCGTTTTTCAAAACTATTTTTACCCTGATGAATGTGTAATGTCCTATATATATTAGACATGGTATTAAACATAAGTTATGGATACCCACTATTCTTTGAGTCGTGCTTAGTACATGTACACACGATACACTTATTTTCACCTTCCCCTGAAATCAGAAATGAACGCTTTTAAATATATATATTTTTATCGCTCTTAATAGTTCAACAACTTTTTCATAATAACACATCCATTCCATGCTCTTTAAAGGTTTCGTACCAAAAACTAAGAAGAAATTAAGAAAAAAAAATTTAAAATAAAATCAAAAATAAATTCAATATAAAAAAAGAAATTAAGATAAAAAAATGGAACCATTAATCATTTTGTTTCGGGGGACTTTTTGAACGCTTTTTAATACCTCCTGTGCGTTATTATGATGCTGTTGTAAGTGATCTATTTTAGCGGAAAAAAGCCCGTCGAAAAGTCCCTCGTCTGTGCAGGTCATAAGAGTAGACGTACTTACTGCAATCACAACATGCTGTAGATTCTTTCTTGAGCTTGTCACTACCTTCTTTGAGCACGTCTCCTTTGGAAGCGCTGAAAATAAAACAATTCCAGTATAATCTTCCAACCACTAAAACTTTTAATATTTCTTTAAAATCTTAGTTCACTGCTGGACATGGGCCTCTCCAATTAACTATCTTTGTAAACTTTGTACTAGTAAATTTCATGAAAAGTGAAAATTGTAGCTGTCTGATGAGAAAGCCTTTAGCACGAATGGGCTTCAAACAGCGAAAGAGTGTTATTATGAAATTTAATTATAAAAACACATTATAACACCCAAACGGGTGTAATAATGGTTAATCTAATTATGGCATTGGTTGTTTTAATGTTAGCAATATGCTGTTTCAGAATCTTTATAGAGGTTTTAAAGCATGTGTGTAGATAAAACACTTATTCAACACACTTGCTCATAAAATGCATTTACGAAGGTTGTATACATTGTTCGAAAGTTCAAAATTACAAGCCATCCAACGGAGCTTGCGGTAAACCGCACGCTCGCGTACATGGCGCCTTGCGTATTCTTTACAGTTTTTGAAGTTATACTTCTTTAGCCGCGTTATGAAAAAATTATGACAGTGAAATTTTAAGATGCGCGCGCATCACTGTAACACAAAAGTAACATAATGAAGTTAGCCGCGGGCGCGTTATGAAAAAATGATGAGAGTGAAATTTTAAGATGCGCGCGCATCACTGTAACACAAAAGTAACATAATGAAGTAAGCCGCGGGCGCGTTATGAAAAAATGATGAGAGTGAAATTTTAAGATGCGCGCGCATCACTGTAACACAATAGTAACACCATGAAGTTGACCGCGGGCGCGTTATGAATGTTAGTGTCTAAGTGGTTAATAATCCACCAATATTAGACATCTGTTCGAAAGGTATTTTGAACGATCCACGGAGCTCCATAAGATGATCGCGTTGTCAAAAACAATGTTGGCACGCTCGTCGCCTCTGATCACTGTTTTCATATTTATAATATTTATCCACATGTTTCTAGTTTCTATATAGACACAACGTGTTTTAGTTACTTACAAGTGCTAATTACATATGGACTAATAACTTAAATTCAGTAGTGATTTTAATTGAATATTTTGAATATTTATTTAATTTTTCAAATTAAAACTGAACTTCATTGACTGTGTTAACTATCCTTTTCCAGTCCTTTTATTATTTTATTGTAATTATTAATTATTTGCATGCAATTAAAAAATATTTTTAATGATGCTAAAGAAGTATAACTTCTCACGCGCGTACATAAGTTACACGCATCCATTTTTTTTTATTTCGGTCGAATCACACTAATGTAATCGGCGCTGCGGGTTAAAGTGAGAGAGGAGGAGTATCTACGAGTACATCAGAAAGTTGTTAAACTAAATGAGCACATGACATTGGTAGGTGAAAAGAGGATTGGAGGGTTAGATGGGATTTGAGGGTGATAAGAGGATTGTTGGGTGATTAAAAGGGATTGGAGGGTGATAGTGGGGATTGATGGGTGATAATAGGGGAAAGGTGGGTGACAGTGGGGATTGGTAGCTGAAAAGGGATTGGAGGGTGAAAAGGGGATTTTGAGGATGAAAAGGGATTCGAGGGTGATAAAGGGATTGGTGGGTGATAATAAGACATTGGTGGGTGGTAGTGGGAATTGATGGGTGATAATAGGGTATTGGTGGATGATAAAAGGGATTAGTAGGTCTAAAGGGGATTGGAGGGTGAAAAGGGGATTGGAGGGTGTAATGGAGATTAGAGGTTGTAACGGGAATTCGAGGGTGAAAAGGTGATTCGAGGGTGAAAAGGTGATTCGAGGATGAAAAGGTGATCCGAGGTTGAAAAGGGGTATTGGAGGGTGAAAGGGAATCGAGGTTGATAAGGGGATTGGTGGGTGATCATAAGAGATTGATGGGTGATAATAGGGGATTGGTAGACACAGATACTCTTTTCTCGCAAATGTGTTGAAAAATGTATTGGTATTTATAAACTCGTGACAATTGTAAACCCTCGTCGTTGTAATAGCCAACTTACCGCACTTGTATCATAAATAACTATTATAACATTATAGCTATTAACGGGTTGTTACCATGTACCTTGTTTTGTATGAGTCTTCGATATTTCGGCACTGTTGCAAGCGCCATGATCACGGAGTAACTGAAGTAATCGCTGGTAGATGTTATTGGCAGACATAACGGTCTACCCTCTGACGTCGTCTTTTACTGCGCTCGACACCCCTACCACTGGTCACATTCTCACTATTCACCCGACACACAATACTCACAGTAACAGATCGCGGAACGACACTTTTTTGATTTTTGCGGTTTTTACACATATGAACTACTGGAATCCAGGCACTTGACAATTTAAACCCATCCTCACGATTGAAATTCTTGTGTTTGGTAATTTCAATCGCTTCCCTGACCAATCTTGGTATGTAGCGGCGTTCTGTCGAGATAATTTGTGGATTATGGTGCTCAATCCAGTGATTAGGACCCAAATCAATCAATTGTTCCGCGATGGCTGATGTTTGCGTATCGGAGACTCATAAAAAACAAGGTACATGGTAACAATCCCGTTAATAGCTACAATGTTAGTGACCATGAAAGGTTAAAACAATATATTTAACATTGTAGTAAAAAGCACGAAAATGAATATATTTATAGGGTTGCTTACCCCATAGCAGTTACTTCCGGATCCGTCTTGTTTACTGTATCTAGAAATAAATATTGTTTTTAATATTTCGACATATCGATTTTCTTATCAAAGTACCTTCAATATAAGTAGGTATATTTGTAAAACCTGATTTAGAATTCCTTGTGTTCAGAGCATCTTCGTCTGTTTGATCTGGAAGTGTGTGGATATCGTTAATTTTATATCAATAAATATTATATATAAAGCTCATTCGCCCGTTGTGTCCGGTTGTCTGTCCGTATGCGCGTCATGGTCTCGGAAACTGCTGAACGGATTTTGATGCTGAATGGAATTTAATATTTTTTTAATTTTTATATGAATAATACACGCCCCGAGAGCAAAAAGTCTACACAGAAGCGAAGCGAGAGCTCATTAGCCTTAGAACTTATATTGTAATAAAATATAAGTTTATGTTAATAACAATATTGAATATATTATCGCTGCACACAGAGACGTTTACTAAATTTCATCATCATCATCAGCTCATTAATGTCCCCACTGCTGGGGCACAGGCCTTCCCTAAGGATGGAATAGGGAGATTGGGCCATGACCCACCACGCGGGCCCAGTGCGGATTGGTGGGTGCTAACGACTGCAGATGCAGCCGGGACTAACGGCTTAACGTGCCTTCTGAAGCACGGAGGAGCTCGAGATAGTAAATATTTGGTCACCCACCCAATGACCGACCAATGCGAAAGTTGCTTAACTTCAGCGATCGCAGCCGAACGCGCTAACCACTTGCGCCATTTAGCTCCTGAATTCAAATTACTAAATTTAAAAATAAAGTAACTTGATAACTTTTTAATTGAATGAGGACCGGCGTTTTTATAAGTGTACCCTTTCTAATGATATATCGTATGTTATCGGTTCCTAGGCAAACCTATCATACATTTTGTTCTTTAAAAATTACGTTATTACACTTGCATTAAATTATAACCATCATAAGAACAGGTTAAAAGCTCCTTTAGACGACCTCCGTGGCCGAGTGGTTTGTACGCAGGGTTTCATGGTGTCGCCGACTCGTGAGGTCCTGCGTTCGAATCCCGGTGGGGGCAGATGTTTGTGTGATGAATACGAGCATTTGTACTCAAGTCATGGATGTTTAATATGTATTTCTATATAAATATACTTATATATGTACAGTATATGTACTCTATCCGTTACCCTAGTATCCCATAACACAAGCCTTACAGTGCTTACTTTGGGGCTAGGCTAATTGGTGTGAGTATTGGAAATATTTATTTATTATCCTTTGAAGAATTTATTATTTAAAAAATGTAGAAGACGATCCCTGAAATAATGTAAAAAGCTTCTACAACTAATTGAATTGAACAGTCAAAAAATAGTCAGACTCACTAGATTCTTCTTTGACTCTCATAGTGTTAAATTTTCTCCCGTTCTCTATAGCTGTAATAAGTGAGATTAAATATTATTAAGTAAAGCTTTAATTGTAATAGTAAGAATATAGTAAAGTTCTTAATAATAAACAACAAAAAGATTGTATACACGTATACTAGGGATCAAATATGCAAAGTAGATATTGACGCTGCCGTTAATTTTAGTAAATTTACCTCACTTTGTATTAAGTATTGCTGGTATTAATTATTTGTACCTAAAATTTAGGGGTATCGACGTTCCCCTAAATTTTGTATTTAGCTATGGCGAAACTACGAAAATGGCGCGCATTTCGGCGGTGAAACTTGGACCAGCATCTTTCGGCTCTTTTTTTTGGTTTATTAAGTGAGCCAAACGTATAAAAGCGCTTCCATGGAGGTTCAATCTAAATTAAAAAAAACTGTAAAGGATACGCACGGTGGCATACACCGTAGCGTGCGGTAAAATTTTACCGAACGTTCTATTGCATGGTGCGTAATTTTAAACTTTAGAACAATTTATACAATACATACCTTTTGTTTTGTCACTCAAAATATCCCTTTGAGTATTGCAACATGCATCACATTTCTCTAAAAATAATAACAATAAATTAAAAATACGGAATAAAAGTTACGGAAACAAATGGTTTTAAGGCATTTGGCTAATTGCAATCATGGATTTATTTGAATTACATAAATTAAAACACTACGGAAGTTTCGATATTATCCATTATTATAAGTTGCGGCACGAAACTCTAGCGATCTTGGGGGGGAACGAGGTGCGCGGGTGGGCGTGCGTTGCGCCTTTTGGCTCTTCAGTCGAATCTCTTATACAGTAAAATAATAAATAAAAAATGATGTAAACTTGTAATACAAAGAGAGATACACACACACACACACACACACACACGCACGCACACAAACACAAACGTTTTATAAATGTTAGTTTTTTTTTAATGTTTGTTGTTACTAGTTATCATGTTCGAGGTGGGGCGCTAATAACTGCGACACAGTCTCTGACTTATGTAGTTATTAACGTTTTACATTGTTCTGTACAAACTATTTAATTGCAAATAAAGATTTTTATTATTATTTTATTATATTATTATAATCTTGCGCAGCTATCCCCTCCTCGTTTTGTTCAGCGCTAGAGTTACGTGCCGCGACCTGGGGTCTACTTTCTATCTCCGAAACGAACTTTCGATAACTAAGTTCAATCGAACTTTCGATAACGAAGTTTCGCCAATTTAAGGATTTACTGAATATGAACGATAAACTGTCAAATTGAAGCTCTCTTTGAGTAGGCCTAGAAAATCTACACCTCAATCTAAATTCCGACGACGAATATTATTATAATTAAAAAAAGTGCGATGTTTCGATCGAAATTTCGTTTTCCGTTGAATTAGAGTAGGCCCCCTGTACTTATATTATATATTATGCTAAAGTAACCTTGTATATTTTGTTTTCAAAAGGTTAATCAATTTCGCTAGAGATTGGCAAAGCTATATATAAAGGTGGTCCTTGCAGGAGGCACCTGAAATACTTTTTATTCCCGACTAGCTGTGGCGGCGACATCGTTCGCGTGGACGTCGGAAAATTAAAACATGTCCTAAGGTCCGCGTGGATTTTTTTTCTAGTAAACTTTTCTTTAGATTTAAAGATCTAGCAGTTAAATGCTTAAAAAATAAATAAAATCATAACTATAATTGCTATTTCTTCTTGCAAATGTTTAATACTTGAAAAAGTATTCATTTGACATTGTGGGTTACCTACAATGCGAAGAGATGGCACTGCCTTGCAGCTTAAGGCTGGGAAAATTTCGACGCGGCTAATAGGGCCGTGGTAGCATAATGGTCAGTGCATTCGCCCGGATAGCGAAGGATGCGGGTTCGAGTCCCGTCCGCTGCCTGGTCCGCGTGGATTTTTTTCTAGTAAACTTTTCTTTAGATTTAAACATCTAGCAGTTAAATGCTTACAAAATAAATAAAATCATGTCCTAAGTAAGTAACGTTAGTTAAAGCTTTTTGCATTCTTTAGGCTAGTAATTATTCTTTGTAAACAATATCAATTAGGAGTCACTGGGGTATCGGTAGGATGAGGTTGAAGGTTAACAAAATGTGTCTCACGACCCAATACCATCATAAAAAACTGTATTGTATGTATTGGGGCTATTCCTGAAAAATCTGTGCCTTATTTGACCGCAACACTAACCTAATCTAACTTCATCTATATTTATTTTTAAGCATTTAACTGCTAGATGTTTAAATCTAAAGAAAATTTTACTAGAAAAATTCCACGCGGCCCACGCAGCAGACGGGACTCGAACCCGCACCCTTCGCTATTCGGGCGAATGTACTGACCATTATGTTACCGCAGCCCTGGTGGCCGTGTCGAATTATCTCTAGCCTTAGGCTAACTTCGTCTGTTTACCCGGAAGCTTTACTAGTGCTTCAGGTTCCCGAGTAACCTCACCCCTCGGGTGCGTCCATTTCCACAAGGTGTCCTTGACCACGCGTGCCCAAGACTGAGAACCCGCGCCCTTTGGATGCCTCCACTCCTCGGGGGCTTAATCTGACCCCGACTCCCAAGAATCCCCTCGCCCAGTTGTAAATAAAAAAAATCCGAGTAACATTTTCTTTACATTTAAACATCGAGCAGTTAGATGCTTAAAAGGTATTTTTTTTTTACTATAATTGCTATTACATATTTCAAATGTTTAATGTAACTTTATTCATTCGACATTGTGAGTTACCTACAATGCGAAGAGATGTCGCTGCCATGCAGGTTAAGAAACGTTAGTGAGAATTCGACACGGCCATCAGAGCCGCGGTAGCATAATGGTCAGTGCATTCGCCCGGATAGCGAAGGGTGTGGGTTCGAGTCCCGTCTGCTGCCCGGTCCGCGTGGAATTTTTACAAGTAATATTTGCTTTAGATTTAAACATCGAGCAGTCACATGCTTAAAAAATATAAATTATAACTTTGTTATTAATGTCAAATTTGTTTGTCTATGGAGACGCGACTCTACCTTAGAGCTCTCTCTATGGCTGCTTGTCAAAAACTTGTGTTTGCAAAATTTTCACCGAATTGGAAAACTACATAATTTATCGGATATTGTATCTTTCATTACCAAGAACTTTATTAATGGAAAACTCGGTGTTGCGAATTATTCTCGTCGTTTGGTCATTTCACTTCCCATACAAGCATAGACTTGCAGCATATCCCTCGTCAGCTTTGCATAAACGCATTACGTTGAACTCAACATTTTGGCCGACGACGAAATCACCCGCGCCAACGCGCCTCCGACTTCTCCCACACAGGCCACAAACACCAACATTACACAGCTAGCATTCTTGCACTTGCCATTGGCCTGGAGCCAATTGTACCCATACCTTATCGACAGCTGAGAACATGGATAAGGGAGCGCTGTCAACGACAACACGATGAATATCGGGCAAAACACACTGACTGCAGGCAAGATAGGGAAGCCGTTCCTAAGGGAAACACCAGCAGCTATCACGTAAGTTAATCAGACTACCTAGCTAGGTAGTCTGATTAACTTACGTGATACAATAACAAGCCCTGAAACAAATCGTCGGTATACCCGCGGGTCACGGCTACTTCAACAAACACCTTTATAATAAATGTATTTCTGACAGCCCTCTGTGCAGAGCCTGCCTGGAGGAGGAGGAGACGAGCACCCATGTTCTGCTGGAGTGCAGAGGCGTTGCAAGACAAAGGACTTCTCTAATGGGAAGCCCGCGGACACTAGTAGAAGCCTGCAGCAACATCCGGGGACTGCGGAGCTTTCTGGAGGATCTGGGTGGGCAGGAGTGATGCCAATCCCCACGCAAAATAGGCCTGGGTGTCGAGTTGCGGAAACAGCCCGCTATACTATTAAGATTAAGACTAGCATACTTGCACACTAGCTTAGCATTATGCAGACACCGCATCCGTTTTTCCCCGCCCGCCACGACAACGGCTAACTAGAGACGAAGTCCGAGTCTCAGAGACGCCCTTTAGATAAGCCGACCCTATCAGGTTTCTAGTGGCCTAGAGGCTCCAGACTGCACCCGTAGGGATATGCCATCCACCTGGAATACCTCTAGAGGCACTCGCCAATTCTCGGCTTGAAGTCCCCTTAGGATCTCGCCGTCTCCAAACCCGATGACGCTGTAAATGATCATCTGCGACCAACAACATACACACCCAATAAAAAAGAACATTTTGAAACAATGCAGAAGAAGTATATCAAGTATATGCATATAGTCCAGTTCCCGAACCGTTAAATATATGAAAACCTCGGATTTCAGTTACAGTGAATTAACTTAAAAATTATTTGATTTCAATGTTGCTAGTTGGGAATGTAAATTAAACGGCCTTGGTTGACTTTATTGTAGATATTTCGTAATTTATTTACAGCTTTAAATAAACAACCTGGTGACAGACAGACAGACAGACGGACATTAGTGGAGTCTTCTTCTTCGGAACCCTAAAAAGAAGAGGAGTTCCATATATTAAAAGCGGCTAGTGAAATTAAAGTAACGAAATTATACACCAAGTAGGTACAAATCATATGACAATAACGCAAGGCACACTCATAAAAAATAGATCACATTTTTTTAATGGGTAAACTTTTTTATATTTGTTATTAACTGAACATTCCATTTAGTTTTTTTTTTTAATTTCATTCACTGTTGCTAAAATCTGAGGTATAAACCCCCAGGCGCTCCACTAATACTCCTTCTGTCTGTATCGTCCACGTCTCTGAGGACACGCATAAGAATATTTGTATTTAGGTATTTATACACATATTTATAGACAATAGTCTGGAACATTATCTGTTTGTTGAAAGTTACATTTTAACGACGATTGTTTAGTTCAAACAAAGAAATGTATTGAATTTTTTTTTATAAACAGGTAGGCAAATGACTCTACCCTACATGCCCCCCCTAGCATGAGCACCGCGATATGTTATAAAACGCGTTTTGAACACGCTCAATTGTCAAATTTTTATGGAGCTTGACAGTTAGACACGATAAAAAACGCGATATAATGTAAATAGTGGTGCTCATGCTACGGGGACTGATGTTAAATGGTGATAAAGTCCAAACGCAATTGGACCGTAAAGAAGAACAAAGGCTGCATCTTTGGGAGGAAATACAATTTTATACGATGTGAAATGGGGAGAGGAAGTTTGTACGAAGAATCATCAGTTTGATGCTTGTGAGAACAGTTATAGAGATCCATGGGGCAGCTGTGTAACGGTGTCACATGTGACATAGCCGAAACCGTTCTTTCATGTTAATTTCCCTCATAATCTACCTTCCTGGTCACCACTAATTTTAACATTTTATTCTATGGTTTTTATTTGAGTTTGTCTTCAATTCCGTCTACGCCAGTAAAAATTTTTTTTTTCTTGTCAGTCCAGCAGAAATCTCATAAGAAAATAATTACACAATTAAACATTAAGTATAATTAGAAATGATTTTTTAAAATCAATTACAAAAACCCGACATGGGTTTTATGTAATGTATTTATACAATATCAAGCTTATTGTTGACGTTTCATTTATTTGAACCCCTTCTACCGATACGGCTGCCGTCGCAACAGTTTTTTTAAATGTAATTTCCGTACCAAATTCGATACTTACCTGATTTGGCTTTTATTTTCTTGACTTTTGGATCGCAACATGCTTCACAAAAATCTGCAACAAGAAAACGTAGGTGTATTTTGTAGTTTCGTCTTGGGACCATATTAATTTGTGGACAAATTTTGGTTTGGCATTTTAAGACAAAATGATATGTTAGGCAATAATGCCTGCATAAATAAATAAATAATGCAGCAGTAGCATCTTGCATTTTAGGCACTGTGGTCATAACAGCTATGCACGTAGCCTAATAATTCATTACCGCAGAACTTAATCAAATTTGGAACGCTAATTTTAGCGCCAAAGCCAACCTAAGCTTCGTCGTACAGATGACAGATAGACAGGCAGCATCTTAGTTTATAAGGTTCTGGTGTCATTCATTAAATACCGACCCTCTCAGGTTCGAGTGGTCTAGAGACTCCAGACGGGGAGGAGTCTCTTCCCGTGGGAAGATGCCATCCGCCTGGAATACCTCTAGAGGGCACTCGCCAATTCTCGGCTTGAGGTCCCCTTAGGATCTCGACGTCCCCAAACCCGGTGATACTGTAAAGGTCATCTGCGACCAACAGCATACACTCAAAAAATAAAAAATGGATACCGAAACACCGTAAACCATTAACTTACCAAGCGGCTTCTTAGTAATTGTACTTGCATTAGCTTTGTTCCCTGAAACAATTTTAATGCTTATCATTATTTAAAAAGGGATGTTAAATGATCCCTATTATGAATATAGATAGAAAGTGTAAATATTAAGGGAGACATCTTCTCTTCATTTTTTGAGACACAGTGAGTGAGATGAGTCGCTCGATGGCGCAAGTGGATAGCGCATTCGGCTGCGATCTTCCAAGTTAAGCAACTTTCGCAGTGGTCGGCCATTGGATGGGTAAACAAACATTTACTATCTCGAGCTCCTCCGTGCTTCGGAAGGCACGTTAAGCCGTTGGTCTCGGCTGCATCTGCAGTCATGGCCAAAACTCACTCTTCCATCCATAGGGAAGGCCTGTGCCCTAGCAGTGGGGACATTAATAGGCTAATGATGATGATGATGATGATGAGTGAGATGAGGTTTCTGCCGAGCGCCTGCCTATTTTTAATATTATAGAGGAGCTGTAATACGAGATGACCACCTGATGGTTACCATCAGTAAGTGATCACCGTCACCCATAGACCTTAATACCAGGAGTATCACAAATGCGATGCCGGCCTTTAAGATGAAGTACGCTCTGTTTGTGAAGGTTTTCAAGTCGCATTGGTCCGGAAACACTGCTTGTGACAATGTATTCCACAGTTTTGCCGTACGTGGTAAAAAAAATCGACAAAATGGCAAGGTCGTGGATAGCCGCGCATCAAGATAGTGGGGAAGAAAAACACTCCCCGTGAAAAATGGGATAGAATATGCAGAGTGAAGCTCCTCAGAACATTCCCCGTGCTAAATGGGATAGAAGATGCAGAGTGAAGCTCCTCAGAACACTCCCCGTAATAAAAGGGATAGAAGATGCAGAGTGAAGCTCCTCAGAACACTCCCCGTGATAAAAATGGGATAGAAGATGCAGAGTGAAGCTCCTCAGAACACTCCCCGTGATAAATGGGATAGAAGATGCAGAGTGAACCTACATATCTACGCAAAACCAAAGGATCATGCCTATTAAATGGGATAGAAGAATCAGAGTGAACCTACATCTCTACGCAAAACCAAAGCCTATCGGAAAGATCCTGGTCGTCGACAATTCGAGTTGCTCGGCGATAAAGCCGACCCAGAAGGCCTGCTTGAATTTTACCCCCTTATTCATAAACGAGAAGTAAGCTTGGACTAGTTACGCTGTGGTTTGTTCATATCACTCTAGTGCCAATTGTCATTCAATGAACAGAAAAAACATAGAGTAAGTAATTCAAGCTTAGTCTTCATTAATTAATAAGGGGGCATGTAATGGGGTTAGAGTTTTACGCTGGGTAGGTTTCCTGCTTACTATCACACAAGCCTTAAGTTTATTAGCAATTATATTTGCAATCAAAATATTCAACTCACCAGTAGCTTTAGAATGCATATCGGCCTTAGAGCTGATTTTTTGAATGGCGACTGAAAAAAAAAATATCTTTTTAGTGTACCTAACAATTATTTTAAATCAATTTGAACAGAAAATATTTTTTTTCAAAGACGTGAGGCGGTGCCGGATAAGTAATCTACACCTCGCACCAAACTGCGGCCATATAAAACTATTTTGGAGACACGCTGGAATCGAATCCTGTCTATCGTCAATCATAGACCGTGGAGTACACGGATTTCACTGTTTTGTTCGTTCCCGTTGGCAAATTTCACTTTTTGAAGTGAAACTTCATTTCTTAAATAATTTAACATTAAGCGGTGTGTAACTGACGGCCGATGGAGCCGTAATTTCTTGAGTGGAGACCGCGACTCGGTAAACGTGGTGTGGAACGCCCTGAGACAAGATGGGATGATGACATTCGTAGGCTGGCTGGAGTGGGTTGGATGAGAGTGGCAGAAAATCGGGAGCAGTGGCGTGCATTAGGGGAAACCTATGTCCAGCAGTGGACGAGCATGGGTCGATGATGATGATGATGAAGCGGTGCATAAGGCAAATCTCAGGGAAGTTAGCCCCCCATTTCACACTATTGTTTTTTTATTTGTTAATGGGCTTTGTAAATTGAAAGCTGTTGATCCCGTATATAGCCCTAGAACAGAGACAGGAGGTTTTTTTATATCGAAAAATGATTTACAAAACAGTAGGTAATATAAAAGATAAATGTTAATTAGTATGTGAAAATGCCTTTTATAAACCACATAGTGATGGAACTGATGCACCCACGTCATATAACTACCCATTATATAATAAACGCAAAGTGTTCTTACCACTTGTTTTGGAGCGTTTCTCAACTCTTATATCGCCTTCATTAACATCCGCTAAAAACAAAAAAAAACGTTATTTTCTCGTTTTGCTTTGAACGACAGTAACGGCGCATTATTTGATTCACAGTGATGTAAATGTGACTATAGTTAAAATACTATAGAAAAAAAATATCATTTGGAAATCGAGTCGAGAATTTTGAATGTTCTTATAACCTGTGTACTACCCCCAAAAAGCTTAGCAATGAGCTGGTTTTTTTTTCTCGGACAAGAATTTTCCACTTTTTTTCCAAGTAAAAATTAATTTTAGATAATAAAATTCAGTAAGCTTATGAATAATTAAAATTTTCTGAATAACATAGTCGTCTGACTATGTGTATGATAATGATTACTTATTTTTCTCTGTTCAGAAGATACTTTTATCACACTATTTGCTCAATACAATACGAGTATGATGACGGGGTACAGTAAACGAAATTCAATTTAGTCCGTCAGTTAGATGATCAAAAAATAATGTACACGTATTTTTTCTTTGGGCAATCAACCAAAAAATGACAAAGTTTGTTAGTAGGGGCTCGTGACGTCACTTTTAAGTGTAAATTGTATCAAAACGTGACGTTTCAAATCAATATATCTCTGCAATGTTTATATAATGTGAAAAAAGAAAAAATACTTTTTGATAATCTACCTGATAAACTTAGAAAAAAAAATTGTTATCATCCCTATTAAAATTTTATTTTTATCTGCCTTTCCATTTAGTCACATTATGCTGTACATTTGCTATTTATTATTGCTACGTATCAATCATTTATTATTATCAATCATTTATTATACAGTACCTACTCTTACACAGTTAATTGTTTCTAGATATATTACTCGGATTGTTAGGCACTTACCATCCACGTCCGAACTGGAATTTAACTTTTCATAACTGCAGCAACACACAGCACCTATCGAAAAAAATAAAAATATAAGCAAGCACATGGTTATTACTTTTGGAGTTTACTCCTTAAGAATCGATTTGCATATATAAGGGGCCCGGTATGAGAAAAATGTGAGGAGTGAAATCTATCAATGAATGACCTCGTTACGTTTTTACTGTCTACACTGTAGCAGCCGTAGTGCTACACCGTAGCACAGTATCATAGCGTACCTTTATTTATGCACATGTAAAAAGTTTAATGTAAAGAATTTCGTCGATTAGTTATAATAAATGTATATGAAATGAATAAATATATATCTATATATGTATGTTATTTTCATTAATTTGTTAATTCACCCTTTCATACAGTATCAATCTTTTTTAAGTTAAATAAACTCTTTTTGCGTCTGGTTAGACTATCGAACTTAAGAAGTATACTCCAGTCGTGCGTCGGAGCTGACACACACAATTTTTTTATCTCGCAGTCATTTCGAAAATACAGACATGTCTTGTTAAGTCAACTACATCTACACAATGTTTATATACTGTTTTTAGAATACGCATTTTCCGCAGTTAGTCGGCCATCAAAATTAAACTGTAAACTTTATTTTCTTTAAGCATTGCAGTTTGATTTATATTAAGGTGTGATTTATAATCGTTCAATCGATCAACCTACATATTGCTTAGTATAAAATTACCTGTTTCTTGTTTTTCTTCTTCTTCTTTTTTATGATTCGATTGAATCGATATATCTGCTAGGTCTGAAATGATTGAAGTTATTAATAATAATAAATATTTTTTTTATTTCTTCTTACAACAAATTAAGGCACATACAATACAGGTTAAGCAACACTTAAATAATATTATTAGGTGTTGTAAGAAGCAGACGTAAACCTGTACTACGGATCACCAGGTCCTTACCCATGGTATTCCTTATTCATGGTAACTACAAGAAATTTAAAGTGTAAGAGGGAAAAAAATCTAAATCGTTTATACAGGGTTAATTTTAAAACACCAACAACCTCTGAGGGGGATGATTCTACCTATGAACAGGAACTTTTACTATGGGACCAAAGCTGAAATCGCGAAAAAAAAATCAGCTGTTTCATACATTTCGGTCGTTTAGCTGATGGACTGTTGTATGAAATAGCAGATTTTTTTTCGCGATTTCAGATTTGGTCTCATAATAAAAGTTCCTGTTGATGGGTAGAATCACCCCCTAAGTGGTTGTTGGTGCTTTAAAATTGACCCTGTAAAAGGTGAAGTTATAAGTAATGGTTAAAAATGTGGCCTCTTATCATTATCATCATCAACATTAGTTCGATAATATCCAACAAGAGAACTGAGCCACAGGCCTTCCCTATAGATGGATAGTCCCGAGGCCCAGGACAAGAGTTGAGTGGTTATCGAACCGAGGCGAGGCGATTACGTGACGATTCCGATTAGTGTGCGTTGCAATAGGGAGTATCATACAACCAGGGTTACCATTTAAGAATTTCAAAAGTCCTGACATTTCGAGAAAAGTCCGGACTTTTTAGTCATATAATGGTACCATTACTCACTTAGTTACAATGGTGTGGTATTTAAATCAATATGTACTTTTATTATTCATATTCAATGTAATTTAAAAAATCCGGACAGTTTAAAGGCCCGGACAACAGTCCGGAAGTCCGGACATGTCCGGACTAATCCGGACGGACGGTAACCCTACATACAACGAATATTGAAAGGCTCGAGTTGAAACGGAGACGATCCCTTTCCGAGTGGATATGTCTGCTACGATCTTTAACGTGCCTTCCGAAGCACGGAGGAGCTATTAATTATTTACATCATGCATCTAATGACCGGCCAATGCGAAAGTTTCTTAACTTCCATGATCGCAGACCGAAAGCTTTAACAATTACGTTGTAAGTTCCTCAAATTTTAATTTCAGTTCTTTATCTGCAAAATAAATTTGAAAACCTCACAATATAAATGTCTTCGTTCCCATATTTATTGCTATAATTAAACGGTTACATTCAACAAAAACACATACACAAAACTTTGTTTCTGAAACATGTTTCTCTACACACGACGACTACTACTCACGTGGCTGTCGTTATACAACATACTTACAACTACAGGGCTTCGTTCTAAAACTACGATCCAGGTGCAACAAATGTCTTTGACATGTGTAGTGAAACAAAGACGATTTTGTTGAATGTTGATATGTTTTTGTTGATTGTGTAGGGCAAAATACGTCCTGCAGACCCCCGGCTTAAGATTGACATTAAAATTCGCTCTCACTTCTTACCGTTTCCTGTAATCTGTTGTGGGTTGCAACATTTATCACAGTTTTCTGGAATGAATAAGTTTTGATAGATTAAGGCACTTGTCCCACCGCCGACGATGAACGAAAAGCGAGTACAGCGAGAAACTAGAAACGAGTTGGCGAGTAGCGCGAAGCCAGCGTGTAGTTCCGAAAGCTATCTGACATTAGAGACTTATGGAAGGAATTAACCGTATTATTTTTATTTAATTTTATTGTATTATTAATGAAACTCTCTAAATTGGTAAGAAATTAATAAAATAGTAATATTGTAAAATTGTTGTTTTAATTGTTGTTGGCCCTTTAGTTATAAGTTCAAGGAATCATGCAATGAATAAAAAACTCTTTTTAAATGCTTCGTGTAAATTATCTCCTCATTTTCGCAGTACTGACAAATGACTACTATCCTTTATGTACTGGTCGAAGAAATGAAAAAAAAACTAAAATACATGTGTTTTTATTTTTTTTCATTTCTTCAACACAACAGTTAGTAGTCATAATGTGACTACTGTTTGATTAGTATGACATACTAGTCGAATAGTTTATAGAATACTTACTTTTTTTATTAGTTTTTTGTCGTCTGGTCCAACAATCTGGAGAGAGGAAAGGTTTAATAGGAAAAGAATGAAGGCAAAAAAAGCTGACAAAATCACGCGAGCAAGCACAGCTTGAATCATCATATAAGATTTTTTGAAGTTATACTTCTTTAGCCGCGTTATGAAAAAAATATGAGAGTGAAATTTTAAGATGCGCGCGCATCACTGTAACACAAAAGTAACATAATGAAGTTAGACGCGGGCGCGTTATGAAAAAATCATGTGAGTGAAATTTCGAGATGCGCGCGCATCACTGTAACACAATAGTAACACCATGAAGTTGGCCGCGGGCGCGTTATGAATGTTAGTGTCTAATAATAATAATAAATAATAAATAAATAAATAAATATTTCCGACACTCACACCAATTAGCCTAGCCCCAAAGTAAGCACTATAAGGCTTGTGTTATGGGATGCTAGGGTAACGGATAGAATACATATACTGTACATATATAACTATATTTATATAAATACATATTAAACATCCATGACTGGAGTACAAATGCTCGTATTCATCACACAAACATCTGCCCCCACCGGGATTCGAACCCGCGACCTCTCGAGTCGGCGACAGCCATGAAACCCGGCGTACAAACCACTCGGCCACGGAGGTCGTCAAGTGACTTAACCACTTAGTGGTTAATAATCCACCATTATTAGACATCTGTTCGAAAGGTATTTTGAACGATCCACGGAGCTCCATAAGATGATCGCGTTGTCAAAAACAATGTTGGCACGCTCGTCGCCTCTGATCACTGTTTTCATATTTATAATATTTATCCACATGTTTCTAGTTTCTATATACACACAACGTGTTTTAGTTACTTACAAGTGCTAATTACATATGGACTAATAACTTAAATTAACTTGATTATTTATTAAATTTTTCAAATTAAAACTGAACTTTATTGACTGCGTTGACTATCCTTTTCCAATCCTTTTATTATCTTATTGTAATTAATTATCTGCATGCAATTAAAAACTATTTTTTAAAAAGAAGTATAACTTCTCACGCGCGTACTTAAGTACACGCACCCATATTTTTATTTTACATTTTGTTCCTTCATGCTGGTTTGAAATCACAATTTACATTCATCGTGTTTAGTTCAATGATGCAAGAGATATTAACAAAAAAGTTTTCTGTTAATTTTCCTTTATTAGTTTCTATTTAATTATAATTAATTATCCTTTAAAAGAAGCGTGAAGAAGCAACATGCAGGCCGGCAAGGTGAGGATGGCTGGTGTGATAGGTAGAACTGCTGTACCAGCTATCTTCATGTCTGGACTTCACCGTCACTTAACATCAGGTGGGGTGGAGTCATTTGTTGGACCTATCTATATAAAAAACTACATAATGGTGTAGACACTGGCATTATTCTCTAAATCTAAAAAAAATACTTCAGTTTATCCTTGTCATACTCTCTGCAGAATGAAAAGGAGAGATTTATGTTGAATTTAAGAATTATGCCAGAATGGACACCAGTATTTTTGATGTTTAAACTTATGCGTTAACAATCGTGCCTTCTATTTTAAAAATTGATTTGCTTTCCGTATTTAGATTAAAATCTGGTTATTATTTTTACAATGATAACACAATCATGAAAAGTACTAACTCGATTTCTTAATGGAGTTGCGTAAATTTTTTAGGAATGTCAAGGAACTTTTCACCCTGAAAACAAATGAAAAATTTGTGCTATTATTTAATCAATAATAAATAAATATTTCCAACACTCACACCATTAGCCTAGCCCCAAAGTAAGCACTGTAGGCTTGTGTTATGGGATACTAGGGTTACGGATAGAATACATATACTAATACATATATAAGTATGAGGAGCTCGATGGCGCAGGTGGCTAGCGCGTTCGGCTGCGATCGTTGAAGTTAAGCAACTTTCGCAGTGGTCGGTCATTGGATGGGTGACCAAAAATTTACTATCTCGAGCTCCTCCGTGCTTCGGAAGGCACGTTAAGCCGCTGGTCCCGGCTGCATTTGCAGTCGTTAGCACCCACCAATCCGCACTGGGCCCGCGTGGTGGGTCATGGCCCAATCTCCCTATTCCATCCATATGGAAGGCCTGTGCCCCAGCATTGGGGACATTAATAGGCTGATGATGATGATGATATAAGTATATTTATATAGAAATACATATTAAACATATATGACTGGAGTACAAATGCTCGTATTCATCACACAAACATCTGCCCCCACCAGGATTCGAACCCGGGACCTCACGAGTAGGCGACACCTTGAAACCCAGCAGCGTACAAACCACTCGACCACGGAGGTCGACGACGGAGGTTTTGTGGTTAAATTCATCGGATCCCAAACTCCGTTGAGTTTTATTTATATTTATCTGTCTCTTGAGGAGCTTGATGGCGCAAGTGGTTAACGCGTTCGGCTACGATCGTTGAAGTTAAGCAACTTTCGCAGTGGTCGGTCATTGGATGGGTGACCAAAAATTTACTATCTCGAGCTCCTCCGTGCTTCGGGAGGCACGTTAAGCCGTTGGTCCCGGTTGCATCTGCAGTCGTTAGCACCCACTAATCCGCACTGGGCCCGCTTGGTGGGTCATGGTCCAATCTCCCTATTTCATCCATAGGGAAGGCCTGTGCCCCAGCAGTGGGTACATTAATAGGCTGATGATGATGATGATACTTCATTTAAGTTTGGGTAAAGTTTATGCAGTCTTTGCGTAAAGCATTTATGTAAGCATTAAATTTAATGACGTCTCAGTATCGCAGATAGAAGCGCCACACTCACAACCAAGCATGGAATATTATCTCTCATCTATTAGACAAGTCCGTCCGTCCGGTTGTGGTACTGTTTCAGCGGCCAAACCGTAAGAGATAGATAAAGAGAATATTTAAGTTATAAGTTAGGAATAGTCTGATAAGACTACAAACCGGATTTGAGTAACGTAGCACTTCCGGTTTTCGAGAAATCACGAATTTCAAACGAAACCACACAAAAATCTCCGAAGTTCTCAATTAATTAAATACATTTTTTTTTAATCAGGTTTTGGTGAACATTTGGTGCACTGGTTTGCTAGTAGTTTTATAATTTGAAAACAAATTTGCTTACCCGTTCTTAAGGCGGTCGGATAAGTCGCTGAAAAATAAAACCAATAGAAATGAGTTTGAATAATTTGCAAAGTTGTAGATTTGTAATGAAAACTTTTAACATAATATATTATACACGTAATATCTTTAATATAAAACAAAGTCTGCCTCCCTCGCCGTGTCGGTCTGTTTGTATGTTCGCAAAAAATTCAAAATCTATTGAAGGAATTTTCATGAAATTTTCACCATCAGTTAGATAATAATATAATCGGGGTTTCTTGCCCACGGAACACAAAAAGAACGCTATCATATTCAGGGTCGTATTACAAAATCTGGCGCCCCAGGGTACTGAAGCTTTGACTTCTCCCACCGGAATTAGTAAATCAAACAAAATACAGCTCTGGGGGCAATCACCTAACGGGATAAATGTTGTTATCACCGACGCAAAAGCAAAATAAAGAGAGCGAGGCATTTTTTTAATAGGTAGGTCCGACAAATGACTTCACCCCCACCTGATGTTAAGTGACGGTGAAGTCCAGACGTGAAATTAGCTGGTACAGCAGTTCTACCTGCCGCACCAGCCATCCTCACCTTGCCAGCCTGCATGTTGCTTCTTCACGCCTTTTTTAAAGGATCCCAGATCCATTTGAAAACAGCGACAGCCATAGCTGTTAGGCGATTAGCCCCCAGTAACGAAGGCCTTTATATGGCTTCTAGTATGAACTATTTAGTATTCACCTGCCAAAATTTTTCAATGAAAACTTGATATTAGCCGACGGTTTTTTAAGAAGACAGCTTTTTGTACAAGATCCATCGGAAAAAACTATAAAAAAACATGCTATGTTAGATAAAAATAAATCAATCGATCAAAATTTCAGTTCAAGTTGTTTATACAAAAAATCCCTAATATTGTTTGATACGTTGGTAAAAAATGATTTAAAAAAAAATCTAATTTCGTGTTTACCTGTCGTTTTACAAAAACAAAATGAACTAGATATTGTTTGGGTTTAATTTGCGTCAATATACCTATAAATATGTCCATTTGCCCTGATATCCCCTCGCATGGGTTTCGCTTAAGCTAGGCATCTCTTTGGTAGGATTTGCTTCTTCGTAAGTTGGTGCAAACTTAGGTTCGTATGTTAATAAGACATTATTTACTACATGGAAAACTTAGAAAACGTTTTTTTAGCATTCGTTAGCATTTGTACGGAAATATGTAGCCTTATAATGTCAAAATTGAATAGAGTAATTCTTAGTAAAATGGAACCATGGGTAATTAAAATTACTCTAATATTTTAGGTGGCCACGAGGCCACGGATAACTTATGAATTACGGCATGCTTGCTTACTTATATACGGGTCACATGTTTCTTCAGAACCACATTCTGAAGGGCACTCCTCCGATTCCTGCAATCAAACACATATCTTGGAAAGCCATCCTTTAATTAATCGAATGAGCATATAACAATAATAGCCACTTACTTCGTTTTCGACTTCAACAGCATCCTCCCAACTGAAATTACATTTAAAAATATAGCTGTGCCCTGCGGTGTTACCCACGGTTTATTAGGGATATTTTCCCGCAATAAAACTTAGCCTATGTGTTAATCCAGGGTGTAAGCTAACTCCATACCAAATTTTATTAAAATCGTTCCAGCCGTTTAGAGGTGAAGAAGTAAAAAACATACCTACACAGTCACAAACTTTCGCCTTTATAATACTAGTGTGATGAACGAAATTGAGGGGCAATACTATTTTTCTACATAAATTGTAAATGCAACTTGAAAAACTAAATATTAGATCTTGAAACATGGACAGTAAGACAGAGGGTGTATTCCGAATCAAACACCAGTACGCTGACCAGTGGTAATGACGTCATGATTTCGACGCCATATTGACAACACTACTACTACACCAGTGCAATATGGCGTCGAAATCATGACGTCATTACCACTGGCCAGCGTACTGGTTTATATTTCGGAATACACCCAGAGAGTCTTTCACAAGTGCCAGTCTAGACAAAACTGGATAGGCACAAAATTTTCATGTTATTTTACTAGTTGCTTGTAACAAACACCGAACAGCCATAATCTGTACCAAACCATGTTTACACAGCGCTTATTTTATTATTATGGTGATATGTAAATTCAACAATACAGGGAGAAAAAAGCAGCCCTTGCTGAGTTTCTTGCCGGTTCTTCTCAGTACAAGGTCTCCCGCCGTAGTATTGGGAACCGTTGGCGTAGCTTCTTGACCTTCACAAGTGCTTGTAACAGCCTAGAGTGAATAAATGACTTTTCATTTCATTTCAATTTGTCAACATATATTATTTTTATTGCCTATATATATTATATATATATAGGTAATATGCCATTTTAATTATCTTTCACTAACCATCCACCTTTGCACATTGCTCCAATATTCGTGACTGATTCGTAGAATTCTTTATATTTGTTAAAAGGTGTACATTTAGCTGTAGTATCTTCATCTAAAAAAAATGTTTTAATATAAACGACTGCGGTTCCCGTACAAAAGGCCTTAGATCACCCTTCTATCACCCTTCTAATCTTTCTTTGTTCTGTGCTGTATACAGACGAATGTTAGTCTATTACTCAATATAAAAAAAAATGATGCACTAACGCTGTCCTTTTTCAAATACTTGACGCACTGCTTTCAAGATTTTTTCCATTGAGGTGTTAGATGAAGTTACAGTTATTAGATCACAACCATACTTCTTGCAGACATCCTTCACTGTGAAATGTGTTTCAGTGACTGTAACACCTGCAATGAAAAGGAACACGGTTTGATTTCTATTTGTAGCGCTATCGAAAAAAATACAAATTCCTCCTGATGGCTATGATAGTATAAAGGGCTTACAAAACTATGCTTTACATCACTGGATGACTGAGGAGCTCGACGGCGCAGGTGGCTAGCGCGTTTGGCTGCGATAGTTGAAGTTAAGCAACTTTTGCAATGGTCGGTCATTGGATGGGTGACCAAAAATCTTCTGTCTCGAGTTCCTCCGTGCTACGGAAGGCATGTTAAGCCGTTGGCTGCATCTGCAGTCGTAAGCACCTTGCTGTTGTACTGGGCCCACTTGGTGGGTCATGACCCCGTCTCCCTATTCCATCCATAGGGAAGGCCTGTGCCCCAGCAGAGGGGACATTAATAGGCAGATGATAATGATGATGACATGAATGGAGACTATTTGTAACATCAAATAATGACGCTCAAACTAAGTGATAAGTAGAAACGCCGTAAGCTTAACAAACCGAAAGTATTTGTGAACACACCCTGATTCTGCAATATATATTTAGTATCTCCTTTTAATAAATTATTATCACAATGCAAAGGGTGACTTTTTCTTCCGTTCACCTTAAACAGTTTACATATTTATTTAAATAAAATAACCCATGTTATTAAGTTATTTAAGGTATCTACGCAGAAGAACTTTTTACCTTGTTTTTGATAGAAATACTTTTATTATCCGGTAAAGCCTCGTTAATATAATTACATGCTACATCTAATTCTGAGTTAAAATTAGTATGAGTGTTCGTTCTTTTTTTCCATTGTCTCTTTATCCATTCTTGATCAGATATAAAAGCTGATATTCTATATTTCCTGGTTTCTTCATTTCCTACTCCGTCGCTCCTCAATCCTACGTCATCCGATGTACAACAAGTCTTCTGGTTAGATTCTTTCTTTTTTCTTCGTTTGTAATTCTTACTTTCTTTAGATACAAAAGTATCACTTTTTGTATTACTAATTGTGACTTGAATTTCGGAACTTCCATTTGCTACAATATTTTTCCAATAATTAGTGACTAGCGATCGGAGTTTTTGCAATCCATTGCAGGATCCCGAGTAAACTTGAGTATATTTTCTAAAATATTTATCTTTTTTGTAAACTTTCGAGTCATTACTTTTCTCACTATAGTACGAGTTAAAAGCAGATTTTTGACCGTGGTTAGAATAGGAAGAGAATGTTACAACATCATTTGAAAGAACAATAGGTTTCAAAAATTTTGATTGATATGTCCGCCTTAAGCATTTCATTCCTCTTGAAACTTTAGATTTCTTTCTTTTTCTTTTCATTTTACATTTGATATTGGTTTTAAAGTATTGTGCCATATCTGTTAGTAATTTGGTATTTTTAATAATCTTTTGGATTTTTATTGAATTTGGAGCTAATATAATTCTGTAAAAGCTGCATTGTGAGACACTTTTAGTTCCGTCTGTTGGCATTACTCTACATTTCGAATCTTTCAATGTAGTTACGTCTTTTGGAGATTTTCTTGCTGAGAATTTCTTTTTATTTTTAAAGTTTTTAACATTGCACTTCAGTTTATTGGTTTTATAACATCGATACTTAATGGCTTTATGATTTAGATATACTTGATCGTAATAAGCTTTTACCTCAGTCAATATGAAATCGTTATAAGCTATACATAATTTATCAAATATAATACATATATCAAAATTGAATGTCTCGTAATCTACGTCATTAAATTGACATAGTAATTGTTCTTTTTTATCATAATGATATACACAAGCATCTGTAGATATATACCTTCTTCTAAGTCTTATTGACTTTTTAATGTCTTTCCTTGGAGACTCTAGTGCACATTTATCCGTGTAGTTATTAGAAAAGTCTATTTTATCATTTCTTTTTGAAATAAGAGGAATAAGTGCCTGTTGCTCTGATTTGTTTCGTGAAAATATACTACTCTTATATCTTTCACAAAGTTTGGTAGACGATCTACTGATTTTGCTAATATTGAGCTTCTAGAACAAAAATACACAATAGTAGTCACTGTATATGAAATTTCAAAAAACATGAATAACTTGTTTGTAAAAGTACTTACGCATATAGCGCTTATTTTACTAAAACCTGAATCATCATCACTTTCATCACTGTCTTCGGAGGAACCTCTAAAACAATAAAATATCAATATAAAGTTGAATAAAAATGCTTAAAGTTCTCAGGATTGTGCTCACTTACTTTTCTATGCTGACATCACTAAGATCTCCATAATCTTCTGGTGCTAAGCAAATAGTGCAAAGTTCACCGATGTCTGCAAAACAACTGTCGCAGAAGGCACCAGGACAATTCGCGCTTTTACACCTGAATCGGATAAACCTATTAAAATAATTTTCCCAAGTTTAAGTCCCAAGTATACGTATAGATCCTTTATTTCTTCCATAGTCTTACATCTTAAGGAAGCCATACATACATTGCTACAATATTTAGAAAAGCTATATAAGGTAAGGTATAAACCTTATAAGTTGCGTATCTGGTCTACTTTCGTCATACACAGTTCCGCACAGTAAGCAATGAGGCCTTTCGTCATTAATTCCCAATAATGATCGGAGCCAACAAAATCTGCAATGAGGAAAACAACAACTAAGTACTCGTTAGTAAATAATGTATGAAAAACAAGCTCAATCTATACTTTTATATAAAGAGAGAAAAGAATACACTGACAGACTGACTGACTCATCAACGCACAGCCGAAACGGCTGGACCTAGAATGATGAAATTTGGACAGTAGGTAGGTTCCTGTTATTGCCTAGACAAGTAATAAGATGGGATTTTGGAAATTCAGCCTCTTAAGCGTAAAATTAGCAAAAAAAGTTTTTCTTTTTTAAAATCTTATCCCTTGGACTGCAAATTTTACATATTTACATTATTTAATAGATTTACACTAAGCCTTTTTATAAAATTTTACAAGTACCCTCAAAAAATACAAAATTTCGTGTCAAAGTTTGTATGGGAGATCATCCAAAAGTGCATAGGATTGATTTAAATTTTGCGCAGCTACTCTGTATAAAATAAAATTCTATCTGTTTTTATTTTTCAAAAATACCCTCATAAAACAAAGATATAGCATGTTGAAGTTTTAAATAGTGCGTCAACGCACGCCTACTCTTTTAATCGTAGAGATTTATATAATAAATAGGTTGTTTACATGACGTAGGAAACGTAAACGAGAAAGGATTTTTGAATATTCGACTGTGAATTGTACTTTCTCAAATCGGTGATATGTTTTTTTTTCATCACATATTATATTTCCAAAGATATTCAAATTTAGAAACACGGATGGAAACATTGTAATGCTCGATACCTATAACAATAATAAAAAAAATTGGCTTCTAGACCTTTTCATTTCAGAACGAATACAATATAAAAAAAGACCCAGAGGCCTGGCCCACTAGCATAACCACCGATAAAGCGATATATCAGCATTAACTGTGAAACTACTGTCAAACTCCACAGTAGTCTGACAGTTAATGCCGATATATCGTTTTATCATATCCCGTTTCGGTGGTCATGAGGGTCTGGCCAGACACAATAGAAATCGAAAATCGAATGCCGTAGAATGGAAACCGAGGTTACCTAAGCGATGCATGTGGATTTTGGTTTAAATTTTCATTAAATTTTCATATTTTTATGCAATATTTTGGTTATTGAAGTCCTTCAAATTTGTTTTTGTCGCTTTTGTAAAATAGTTTTTCTTTTCGTTGTATTGTGAAAAAAAGCTCTTCCATTGTTTCCTTTTGTTTAATAATGGTTAATTTTTCTTTGTATTATAGATAGTATAGCTAGCTAGTCTTTCAAATAATTTGAAACTTAAAATGGTTATCATTACTAACGGTATGTGATGTTGTAACCATTGTGCAAATGTGAGCTCTTCACATCTATATTTATAAGTCCGGTGAAGTTTTCTTCTAGCCAATTTCATGAATCCAGCTATGAACAAAGGAGGCAAAAATGAGCAAAAACTTATCAAGTTATAAGTGAACTAGCAAACCAGTGAACCAAATGTTCACCAAAACCTGATTTCTCAAAAACCGGAAGTGCTACGTTACTCAAATCCTGTTTGTAGTCTTATCAGACTATTCTTAACTTATAACTTAAATATTCTCTTTATCTATCTCTTACGGTTTGGCCGCTGAAACAGCACCACGGACAGACGGACTCGTCTAATAGATAAGAGATTCACGTGTAAAAATCGTGGAAGTGAAAATCGTCAATCATTTGTGCGTATTTTATGACAACTATGAAACACTATTGCGAAGAGCTCGATAGCGCAAGTGGTTAGCGGCTTCGGCTGCGATCTTGAAGAGTTTTAAGCAACTTTCGCAGTGGTCGGTCATTGGATGGGTGATCAAAAGTTGAGCCGTTGGTCCCGGCTGCATCTGTAGTCTTTAGCACCCACCAATCGTGGTCGCACCAGGTCGTGGCCTAATCGCCCTATTTCATCCATAGAGAAGGCCTATGCCTCAGCAGTGGAGACATTAATATTCGATGATAATGAATAAATTTTGCAGCTTTTGTCTTAGTTATTGGGTTAGTAAAACAACCAGTCAATGTCATTTTAACATATTTATCTATCTCAATCTATAATAATAAATAGTGGCAGAAATTCTCAATCACATCTAAGCACAGCTTGTGTTATGGCAACCAAATAAAATATAGACGCAGAGCTTGTGTTATGGCAACCAAATAAAATATTGACTGGTAACCGTGATTGTTAGGCAATAAATATTCGTGTTCGTCACACAAACAAATTCGTCAAACCCAGAGTCTATGAGGCAGAAGGCAGGAGCGCTGTTATTGCACAAACATATTGGATCCTTTAAAAGAGGCGTGAAGAAGCAACATGCAGGCTGGCAAGGTGAGGATGGCTGGTGTGGCAGGCAGAACTGCTGTACCAGCTATCATCACATCTGGACTTCTGGATGATTTAGATACCGATATAGCATATGGCTGTATTTGTTTTGTTATGTAAGGATAAGTGGTGTTACCTCGAGCCCTAATAATGTGATTGTACAGCCACACAGCGCGAGTCTTGGCTCTGTCGGGTTGGTAATGCCCCATCACAACATGGCGTAGTCGAAGGCCGTATGGCTCGAACATTGAGAAAAACCACAAAAGTAGTATTAGTACGCCTACGGAACGATGAAACTTTTCAATAATAATAAAAAAAAACGAGTGTGCTTATGACCACACGACTAAAGTGAAACTTCTTTAGTCCACAGCTTTAGCGGACAGATATATACAACATACAGATACATACACACGTATATACATATTATATATATGTATATATACAGGGTGTAAAAAAACCTATAACGAAGTCGAAAGCTACGAATTTTCCACATCATGACGATAATTTTTTTTTCTGGACCATACCTGGGAAATTTATGGTTATGGAGATATTGAAGGTCAAAGTCAAAATATTTTTTTCAAGATTTATACATTAATATTTTCAAAACGTTATTTAGAAACTTTTTTATCGACGCACTTACACACACGCATACTCATACACACAAGCACATTCTTTGCGTAGCGCCACAGTAAAGCGCGAAAAAGAATGTATTTATTAACATAAAATACAATATTTTCCCACCTATAATATTTTGTAATATGACTTGTTTGGGTGTACAGTATGAGTAGTTTAAGTCGTTGTCATAGGTTTTTCACACCCTATATATGAGTGTGTAGATTAAATACATGTATGCACATATACATATTTCATTTACTAGCTATAAAACAAAGAGAGAAAGAAAATGGGCGAGCGCACTTTTCCTCTTGCTTATATCCCCCACTCAACTCCCGTTCGCCTCGCCCGAACACACTTTTCGTAACGCCTAACGCATTCGCCGGCTAACCCCCCCAAGTCAAGCGTGTGTAAAGAAGTTTTACTCAAAAACAATGAATTCCATATAATCATAACCAAAAATTATCACATCATAAATAAATACCTATTTAGGTAATCAAAAGGGTGTATTGACTAAGAGACAGATTATTCAGCCATGCATGGTGGCAATAGCTGGGTCTTCCTATTCCATCTATAGGGAAGGCATGTTCCCCACTATCTTTAAATACAGTTGGATGGATGGATCAGATACAATGTAATTAATTACCGATTTGCGTGTAACGCTTTAGGTCAGGTGGAGAAGGATTTGGTAAACACGACAATGGTGACAGTATAGGAGACTCCAGCAGAACACTTAAGCCAGCCACAATTGACTTCAGAAGATCTGCTGTTAAACCTGACCCTGATATATGGATACCGGTATCTCCCGCGCCAGCTGCAAGAGAGCAACAACAAATGTACCTTCAGTTCCTTAGAGAATGTAATAATTTATTGAATTCTGGACAATCTACATTGATTCCCTTTTATTATAATTTCCTTTCTGATATTATATGTTTGCCATTTACAAAGTATTCCGGATCAACCACAAAAGGCGGCGGTATAGATGACGCGTCTAATTCCTACTAAGTTCAATAAAAATTTTAACCAATCTCCTAATTTATTATTCATACTGGGAAATATATTCATACGTGAACAACGATGTTGTTGTATATGAACATTAAAAATAGTAGCATACTTCGCCATACATTAAGAATTATAATTCATTGCTTACGTTGTGGAGGAGTTTGAAATCTTCCGTGGTGCCGTATAGTCATCAACACCCAATACAAACTGTAGTCTGCAATCATGTGAATCATAAGCTTGAATGTGGTTATCGTCATAAATACTACAGACCTACTCAAGTACGCCTTTTCTGAAGCTACTAGGCGAAAAGATGTCGTCTGAAAAAAATACACAATCATCTACATAATATATTAGATTTTCCTTTTTATTCATATATTTGTATTTTGGTCGTTGGTGGTATTGCCATATTCATTAAATGTGAACCAATAATATTTCTTAAATAACATCATTTTGATAAAATTTTAATCATAATAATAGATATTTAAATAAACCTAAGAGTTAAATTGATATTGCTCATACCCAAAGTTAACATTTCTATTTTTCTATAAAAAATTTAGCTAATTTGCTCACAGTGACATATTTTGCTTGTTCTCTCCTGTTCAGCGGTAGAATTGCTTCTCTTCTTTCTCTTTGTCTCTTTAAATCCAAAATACGGATATCCTTGGTGATGTATCGATTATCAAAACGTGACCGAGTCTCAAACATGTGCTGATAGCTTTTGGCCCTGTTGAAAAATATGAGAAAGATCGTGTTAAATATTGTTCAACGGAGCCAACGAAACTATGGTAAAGCCTCGATGACACGGGGTGAATTTACAGCTTCAAGCCAGCATCGAGTAGTCATAGAGCCAGCATAGAGATTGTAAAAAAGTCGATAATATGGGGCGAGTGTACAAGCTGATGGCGAACTCGTTGGATTGTAGCTTGTAAACTCGCTCTGTCTCATCGAGGCTTAAGATAGGATAAGAGAAGCCCACCGGAATATAATCAGCAGTAGAAAGAGGCTAGTGACGTAGGAGCTCCAAGACAACCAAGTGAGCAATGGGTCGGCCCTCTTCCTGATTTCGGTGACAATACCAGCTGCCACTTGGCACGCGGTGCGACTGGTGTTACTACTAAATGAGTACGAGTGGTGTACATGAACTTCCAGGTAAAACATGTGCTTGATACGTTCACTGAAGTTCTTGAGTCCTGCGCATAGATTAATATACTGTGGCAACAATTCCAACGCGTACAAACAAATTTGGTGACTTATTTCTTTGTCGCACTATCCGTAAATGGAATGCTCTGCCTGCTCACGTGTTCCCTCCTTCTTTCAACCTGGGATCCTTCAAAAGAAGTGCGAAGAAGCAACATGCAGGCCAGCAAGGTGAGGATGGCTGGTGTGGCAGGTAGAACTGCTGTACCAGCTATCTTCACATCTGGACTTTACCGTAAAAAAAACAATATTATCATCGTTTTCAAAGTTCTATCTAAGATTTTTCTCCAGAAGTGCATCATGTTTGCTTTGTGAATTTAAAGTGCTAACTAAAATGATACAATAGGGAAGATGCAATATTTTTATTTTTTTTTTCATTTTAAAGAATTCCATGTAGAATAAACCACAGATATATTAAAAAATTAAAACATTGTGATTTATCGGAAAAAATGCGGTTTTAAACTGAATATTTTAATTTTCGCGCGAAAACGAACCTAAGGTTGCGATGACGTCACTCCTGTCTCTCACTGGTCGTATTTGTTCGTTGCTGGCTTTAAATTTTCATAGTTTTGCATATTTTTTCGACTTTCGAAATATTTTTTTAAAACATTTAAAATGGACTATCCATCAACATCATGTGATCATAACAATACCACTAATATTCCGAAAAAAAGCCGTGTTGACTCATCTACTTCAACAAAGTTCCCAAATAAATTGTTTTTGACTGGAACTTCTGATCCAAAACTGAAAAAAAAGTGGTTTCAACCTGCGAAGAGAAATGACAATTTTTCCTCAAAGACCATTATTCGACGCTGAGAAGATCACTTTGACGTAAGTCGGCGAATATACTTGTTATATGCTTAATTAATCTGCTTGTACGTAAAAACGCATTAGTAACCTACCTTATACTTACAAAACCTGTCTATAACATATTTTTAATTTTACAGTTGGAGAATAACGTCGAAAATTAGAAAAAGTTTAAAATGTGTGGCACAATATTCACATTGGCAGGACTGAACCAAGCTTTGCGTTTCATTTAAAATAACTGTAACACGATAACCTTCTTTACGTACTTTATGCTCCGGAGAACTCGACCTTTTACTGTACATAATTCTCCATCTCTTTTAATTTGGACATAGCCGATTGCATTATCGTCGTAAGATTTGTAGAAGCCGCTGAATAAAATACGAAGTTTAACAACTACGATTTTTACATACCGTAGTAATTTAGTCCCTTTCATTTCTACACTTAAAAACTCCGCACTTTGGACAAAAAAAGTTATAACCATGTCAACGCTAACTCTTTGTAAATTCCTGGAGTCTGCTTTGATAAACGCAACTTCCATTTTTATTAAATGTATAAAAACGCAATAAATATTCCCATAAAATAATATTTACTTTAACAACCATAACCTCAAAGAAGTTGTCATAACAGGAGTGACGTCACTAAACGCTGATTGTTGTTTTAAAATACGTTCCGTTTCAAGTATTTTTAATTCGTAATAATTGTTAAAAAACAACATTATGTAAAATAAAAACATTGCAGTGGCATTTCTTTTATATTTTTTTAACATTTTAATCATAAAATTTTCATAAATATTATATATGCATCTTCCCTATTGTTCTAGAACAGACGCTCAAGCACGTACTTCGACAGCTCCGCAATGGTATCGCAACGACAGTTCGTTTCCTTCCATAAAAAAAATTGACGATGACGATACAATTACGGATGTATGAAAGTGTATCTTTGCCTTTACTAAAAATTTTCATATTTTCAACATACGTGAAATCATGTGTCAAACTTGCTTATTAAGCATGATTAACCTAAATACTTAAGAGCCCTTTTACAAAATTGCGCCGCTGCCGTACTAATCGGCGCATAGGTAGATTTGCACTAGTATATATTGCATTTTACGGGTGATGTTTCGAGTCTTATAAAATAATTATTAATGAACTAATATTAAAAATGTATACATATTTCAGTAGTTCAATGATGGTAGATTAGTTTTATTAAAGTTTTTGATAATAATTCTATTCAATTCAATATCAACCTACGAGGTAAACCTGCATTGTTTTTTGGGAAAACTCACGAAGGTTAGATTTTTTTTTTGATATTAATGAGATGAAAAATCTAAATTCTGATAATGTTACAACAAAAACATATTTCTGATGTCGCAGTAATTAATTTGATCTAGTTTATTGAACATTATTTAGAGATTCAGGCGTTTTAAGTTATGCATATATCGTTTTTCCGTAAACTAGCTGCGATAGAACGATCAGCACAAAAAAAGGAAAATAGTATTTGCAAATATTCTACATTAACTTACAGAAGAAAGAATAAATCTACTGTTAACTTCTATTGGCAATAGTCAAAATCTCTTTTAAGGGGGTAAACGAGGCGCTATGTGAAAGGGCTCTTAAAGATAAACTATACATCTCTAACTGATATCATAGTTAAATAAATCATTTATTTGATCCATGTAGAGACAATTAATTTTTTTAGAACTAAAGTAATCTCTAGTTATTTATTTATTAAAAGGCATACCAACAATTGTAATTATAGACACGGAGACACTTATATCAGTGTTACAATTAATTATAGGTAAACACCGCATTTGCCATATCTATATCAAACAGTTTGTATTAAAATTTTACCTAATATACCTTAACTTATATGTTATTTTGTCCAAAAAAGGGTCATTACAAAAACAAAGGATCTAAAATTAAAAATAAACTTCTCGTGCACTCAGTCCGTCAAGTTCCTACTAATGGCTGAAGTTATTTCACTGGGACTATCAAAGTGTAAATCAATTTTATGACTAAAACCGTTCAAAATTTTACAGAATCTCGCATTAGGCGAGTTAGCGCCTAAAACAGTTCTTAAAGGAGGGCAGAGTGGCGTGATTGGCTTCCGAGGCATTCTAGAAGGAACAAGCAAATTGACAAGATTTAACTTTTATTACTACTACTTCATTAAAGTAATAAGATTAATGATAACTTTCATATAATTATGTTATAAATATCAGTTAGAGATAAACTATTTTTCAGAAATAAATGTAACAGCTCCCAGTTCATCTTTAGTCAGTCTTCTAACTTACCCTTGTGTCCATCAATAAACTTTTACTATTTGCATGGGACAGTTGTCAGCTGACGCAGTCTATAAACACTGGAGTTTCGAAAACTATAGTCTAAAGTAACAAATTAATTTCTTACTCCTTTTGACAATCGGAACAATATTCCCACTCAGATGTTCGAAAAACACGAAGACTAAATTGTGCTTATATTTGGTGCAGATGTTTTTGACTACTTTTCCTGTATTGCAAAAGGAGGACTCGTTTGAACCAAAGGTGGATTTGCAGGCTTCGATGCCATCTTGGAATGAGTGTATGCATCTACGGTACGGAGTACCGAGTCTCTCATTGCAGACATTCGTGAGGGAATTCAGCCGAAAGTAACCAGTATTTATAACTTGGGCTAGAAAGAATGTAAGTACTTAATTAAAAAATATTTGTATGTCACACATTTTTACTTTTTCAGACCTGGACTACCAGTAAGGAAATTATTAAGCTCGAAAAAAATCTTTTTATCCAGCCCTTACTGGCCAGATATATATAATACTTGCTAAATTACAGACATTGATTAATAAAGAGTATTAACGAGAAAAGCTTTTATTAATATTACGTTAAAAAAGTTGCCAAATTTAGTATGAGTTTCGCTAGACCATTACAGTTGGGTCATAAATAAGGGTGAAATAGTTTGAACGATTGGTTTCGCTTCGCTCGGCCGAAGAAATTCATCTATGGAGTAAATAATATTAATTTATGATTGGACATTATGAACTAAGTAGTAACATAAATGACCTGCATGTTGAAAGGACCATTGATCCACTCAGTACCGTTAAATAAGGTTATTTAGGCCCAATTACGAATGGCCCAGTTCTGTATTGATCTCGCATAATTGACCGGCCAACCGGCTTCTATTGTTCAAGTAAGTAACCATACCTTTGTTTTGTATCATATTTATAAATAGGTAATTTTTTACCTCGGGGCTCAAAGGGTGTAACCGCCATTTTGGCGTTAAGCTAAAATCCCCCTGGTTCAAAGGGCATAAAGGTGTTACGCCATTTACCGCGTAACACCAAAATGACGTTACGCCCTTTGAACTATGAGGTATCGAATTATGTTGTTATTTCATAAAAATCAATTCAATAATGACATCCATGGTCAAATGCATACTGATGTATCCCCTGCATTTTTTGCAATGTTGCAACCTAGTCTGCGGCTCGAAGGCTTCGCGGCACGGGTGTCAGTTGCAAATTAATAATTTTCGTCTGCTGCCGATTTCGATGAAGAAAAGTTAACTTTTCTATATTTATTACCAAGATCTGAATCGATTTTGCAGCTATTTTTTGTGATTTTTAATGTTTAAGTAAACAGTAGAATATACTCTCTATTTTGTCGTGCCTACTTAAAACTATTTAATGGGTTTTATTTAAATTAGATAGTCCTTGCAATTATTTTACTAAGTTAATGTAATAAAATACATACTAAGACTCAATATTAGCCTGTTGACTTTCAGTATTATCGCCTTCATTTTGACTGCGATTGCTCTCAATTTCTCCACCATTACTTTGACAGAATCCTTTAGACTGTTTAACGGTCTATCCATAAGTGTTTTTATATGACCGACGCTCGTTTTAATTTGTTCCTGTATAGAGTGAAGATTATAATTATTAAGAGTACATATCTATTTATTAAAATTATCTCCTGGGAGAAAAAGTTTGTAGTTTAGTTTAGTGTTAATACATTTGTGCAGTATGATAGGTTGTTAGAGATCATAGCTCATTACTGTCAGACACCTAGTCGCGCGACGTCCGTTCACTCGTGGTCGACGAGCAAACGCAGGTGGACGCCGCGTTGTCAGCCAGCAAACGTCTTGTCGACCACGGGTGAACACCTCTTTGTCAACTAGTGAACATATAATATATACAATGAGGGGTGTAAGGGGTTCTAAATACACCTGCAAGTACCCAAGCCAACCTCACCTTCACGTGGTGCACCCTGTTGACCAACAGACGAGGCTCTGGCAAACCGACCGATGGCGGTATAACCATCCAATGACGTAGGGGAGGAAAATGTCACTGGTGACGGGCAGCAGCGTCATCAGTAAATAAACCTACGCTCTGCGATCGCCAACCCGCCTGCCCAGCGTGGCGATTATGGGCAAAACCTTCATGCACAAGAAACTCAAGCCACGGCCCCCAGTTCCCGGCAGCCCCGCTATTCCTGGTCACGGTGGCGACCACGGTAACGGTGGGGCGGGGGGTGCCAAGAATCTCCGGGCTACGGGAGGCCACCACAAAAGACTGACCCTGGCGACGTACAACGGACGCACGCTACGGCTTGACTCGCATCTGGCGCAACTCGAGGTGGAACTTGGAAAGATTAGGTGGCACATTTTAGGGTTAAATGAAGTCCGAAGAGAGGGGGAGGACACCATAACCCTCGAATCGGGCCACCTAATGTACTTCCGCGGGGGAGACCAACAGTCCCAAGGTGGCGTTGGATTTTTGGTAAATAAGTCCCTTGCCGATAACGTTGTGGAAATGTCCAGCGTGTCGAACAGGGTAGTGTACCTTATTATAAAGCTCACCGAGAGGTATAGCCTCAAGGTGGTGCAAGTGTACGCACCGACCTCGACACACTCGGACGACGAAGTGGAGGATATGTTCGATGATATATCGAGGGCCCTCCACTCCACTACTAAGACCCACTACAACGTTGTTATGGGGGACTTCAACGCTAAAGTGGGAGTACAGAATTGCAGCGAATCGGTAGTAGGATCCCATGGATTTGGAAGCAGAAATCATAGGGGGCAAATGCTTGTCAACTTCCTCGAACAGCAGGGGCTCTTCTTGATGAACTCTTTTTTCAAGAAACAGCCCCAAAGGAAGTGGACATGGCAGAGCCCCGACACTATGACTAAAAATGAGATCGATTTCATCATGACGGACAAGAGGTACAGTCGCCATCAGATATATCTGAGCATACAAGGTGACCAAATACATCTGAGCATACAAGGTGACCAAATACATCTGAACAGTTAAAATGTCATTAAGTTCTATACGCTACAAGTGACCATAAATATCTGAACATTCATTACTTCAATAATATCTGAGCAGATGCCTGTCAATAATATCTGAACATACAACTTTTCAATAATATCTGAACACGTAAATGATTATGTATCTACGCAGATCATGCACTGGGCTTACATATTTTGTTACTACGTGATTGAAAGGATGAACTAAAAACAAAGGCTAAATATAAGGAATAAATACGATGAGAAGGGAATAAAAATCTATCAGAAAATCATTCGTGTAGGTCACCACGAGTAGTAGAAATGGAAGATGCATAATTTTTTCTCTATTTATTTTTTATAATTAACGAGAAGTTATGTTTTTATTTTATTCTATAGATTAAATTCTCAATATCTCCTTAGAAATTTATTTAACCCGGCGTCAGCACAGTCAAAATATGCATCAACGACAGTAGGGTTGGGTCGAGAGGACCCGTATAAGAAAACGCCATAATTACAAAAGTTAAAATAAATTTGGTATGTGGTTGTACTATCTGTATAAAACGATTATCGTTATAGGTTTTGAGTAGAAAAAAACACAACATGATACGAAACTATCTTTTTAATGTCATTTTCATAAAAGTGTCACAAAATATTAACAAAATGGACAACCTCTGTCTTAAAGTAATAAAATTTTAACAAAACATTTTTTTTTATATAACATAAACTAATTTGTTACATGTTAATCAAATCTTTAGTAAACTAATAATATTATACTATTTGTATCAGTCTCATACGTCAGTCATAGTATCCTTATCATCTGCGCAATCTCGGCAGTACAACATTGCATGGTCACTGCAGATGTATTTGCATATACAGCTCCGAAAATTATTAGTTTTCTATCTTTTTTGGCAGAACAGTCTTGGCATCTCTTTCTTACATAAAGTATCTTCACAGGTGGCTCCTCATCAGGTACCTACTCCTAAAAACTCTCTTATTCTTTTGCGTATAAGTCTTAGCAACTGAATGACATCTTTACGATTGCGCAAATGCTCACGAACCAGTATAAGGCTTAAGTTTCTTTAGAAATTGGCGTTATGTAATATGTACGCATTTATTTCAGACATATTTGCCAAAAATAACAAAATAAACAATATAAAACAACAATAAAACATTTTTTTAAACGGCGCAAAATTACGACACGAATAGTATGGTTGGGTCATATTCACCTTTTTCGTGTTTGGCCGTGTCTATCACTCGCTGCGGCCGCAACACGACTGATTGGCAAATCCCACGTGGAGGGGGGGACCATTAGCTCCAGCTACTGAGAAGTTTGGCAAAGTCGCACAAACATTTTAAGAAACACGCTCATTTGAAAACTGCTCGGGTCAAATAGACCCAACTGTGCGAACGCCGGGTTAAAAATAAGACAACTGCGTTTTTTAACCGCAATAGAAATAAGTAATAATTTGGAGGAAACATTTGTCCCACTATTTCCATTGCAGTGGAAAATGGAATTCTGTACTTGTCATGCTCAAACTGGGCGCCATCCTTACAAAAATTTTATTTACTGTCTGAGTGGATGTGTTTGTTTGGTTTGGGTATGTATTATTTATAAAAGTGAAAATTAATAAAAAACAAATTTAATTCTTATAAATTTTTATTGAGTTAAATAATCAAAAATGTAAACGAATTAACTTGGTACACTACCTCAGTAGATGCTCAAGCTTAAGTATTTATTATTATAATAAAATTATAATCGAGATCGAAATAAAAAAAAGCAACTTCTGATACAATGAGTTTAAAATTAAATACACACATCAAAAGTGTCTAGGGATCAAGCATTTTTATGCGGATTTCTTGAGATTGAGATGTGGCTTTGTAATAAATTTATGATTTTATAAATTTATAAGGATCCTTTTTGGTGCATTTCATAATTTGAATCAGGAACTGTGAATCAAATTGGAGTAAAAGATGAAAATCAGCTGTCAATATTTTCCCTATAAAAACATACAACGCATTGAAGACATTATTAGTGCTACTGTTTCCCTACTACTGATTAAAACCAACGTTATTATGGAGCGGCGACGTCATTTAAGCAGGGAAGAAATGCTCAGAGCCGTGGGAATGATAGAAGCTGGTTCCCGGCAACGTACTGTGGCTTTAGCTCTGAATACAAGTCAGAGTGTTATCAGTCGACTTTGGACACGATACCGAAGCACTGGTACCGTGGCTGAGCGCCATGGAGGACGGTATCGCTGCACCACACGGAGACAAGACCGATACATTCAAATCTTAACTCGAAGAGCTCCAACAATAACCGCCATGATGTTAGCCGTGAGGCTTCATCACTCTTCAGGGAACTTAATTAGCGACCAAACAGTCAGAAACCGCTTGCATGAAGTGAACCTTCATTCCCGAAGACCGCTACGGGTACCACCTATAGCAATGCACAATCGTAGGATTCGATATCAATGGGCTCTTGAACACAGAAATTGGGCAGAAGAACAATGGCGTTTCGTGTGCTTTTCTGATGAGTCTCGTTTTGGTATGAGACCGGATACAAGACGTATACGACACTGGAGAACCCCTGGACGCCAACAGCGATTAAAATCCTGCCAGGAAGTCCATCCTTATAGTGGTGGAACCATCATGGTATGGGCGGGTATTTGGATCGGCGGAAGAACTGAGTTGATTTGGATCAGAGGCAACCTCAACGCTCAAATTTATGCTGAGACGATTGTATCAGACGTCATCGTTCCTCTACAAGTGCAAATCGGTCCCTTATTTCAGTTAATGCATGATAATGCACGACCGCACACCGCAAGAGTTGTAAGACAGACTCTCGCCGCAGCTAACATCAATGTCCTGCCCTGGCCTGCTCAGTCGCCAGACTTGAACCCGATTGAGCATGCATGGGATATGCTACAGAGAAGAGCTCTGCCGAATATGGAGGGTATCCAGTCGCAAGAAGACCTTTTTTTGTTGTTGCAACGAACATGGGCGGCCATTCCACAGCGTGATTTGGATGAACTCATTTTGAGTATGCCAAACCGATGTTCTTGTGTTGTTAGTGTTCGCGGTAGAAATACGGATTATTAATTGTTTAAGTTACCCAATAAAATTTTAGAGAAAACTGTTATTTCAGTCTTTTTTTCGAACTTTTGTGTTAGTGGTTCAAATGTCAAAAATCCCTTTATTAGGAAAATGGCAAATTTCTTTATTAATGCAAAGGTGACTTGGTTTATCGTTACTGTGACAAACGAAAACACTTTATTTGATGAATCCTTAAAGAAAATTTTAATTAATATCAATCAGGAGAAAAGTTATTGCAAAAATATATGTTGATCCCTAGACACTTTTGATGTGTGTAGTAACAAAATGTTTTATTGTTATAATTATACATGAGATCAAATCAAAAAGTTATCAGGCAATTAGTAAGGTTCTTGAAATTAGCGTATTATTATTAGCTTAATAATTTCCCAATATTATCAATGCCCGTTTAGACGGGAATTTCTAACAGACGTAGACGGCCGTAACGTATATTGTCGAATTTTCAACAAAAACGCAGACCAATTAGTTATTTTGCTCACCATTTTTAGGGTTCCGTAGCCAAATGGCAAAAAAAA